GATTTTTTAAGGTTTTAACCCACTTTTCTCAGCCTCTCTTGGTGTATTTTCATCTAATATGACATCAGCAATCCCCTCCTCCACAACATCAAATCATCTGATCCCAGGCTGCTTGTTATTGTTCAATCATTAAGTACTAATTGAACAAAGTGTGCTTGATCTTTCCAAACACTTCCCAGTTTGCAGGATTGATGAATCCATAAACCAGCATGAGTTGTAATAAAAAGCTAGATAAAATCCTTACTCATCCCATATGATTGAATAAATCACAAGTAGGCCGCTGGGGACGAGGAGCTGCCAGTATTTGACAGTGATTTGTGTAGCTGTGCCCCATGTAAGTCAAACTCTAATCGGACGGCCTTCAATCGTCATCCCAGAGCTTGGAGATCAGCTGCTCTTCAATCTCTCTGTGTGAGCAGCAGCCACAGCTGAGGATTTTGATACTACTGGTTTCTTTTTCTGCTGTATTTAAAAGGCTCTAAGCTGATTTTTAATGCTCAGATTAACATCAACATTTGACCGTCCAGTTTTTGATGAAAAGATGCATTAGTGGTGCTTCCGATTGTTGTGTTTTTATGGGCTTTGTAATGGCAGTTTTTATAGAGCTTAATTTTACCATGGATTTAGAGGAAATTCCTTTGTCTTTATTTTTGTTCTGATATGGAAAATATTGTAAAACAGAAAGGGGATATAGCTGTAACTAGACTACTATACGAATATACAAGATGTTTGTATACAGTATTTCATACTATGACAGAATAGTATACTAATCAGGCAAGTGGTGGATAAAGCTGTTTTGCATGATTATTTTTATGCAGGACTGTTTATCTCTGTTAGGGTTTTTTATTAAAACAGATAAAGTTTTTATCCAGTTTCTTTATCTTCAAGTTGAGGAGGTCACCTCTTCACAAACATGTATGCTCACAACCAGAGATGGCAAAAGTACTCACTTTCCGTACTTGAGTAAAAGTACAGACACTTGTGCTAAAAAATACTCTGGTAAAAGTGGAAGTACTGATTAAACTTCTTTACTCAAGTAAAAGTAACAAAGTACAGGCTTGTAAATTTACTTAAAGTGTAAAAGTAAAAGTAGAAACCACTTTTTTCATGCCCTTGCCTACATTTTAAATGGATGTCTGCCAATAGGACTAGATCTCCGTTGTGTTCATTTTCAATCATCTCGTCGTCCATGAATCTGTCAATTCATCTTGTAGTGGTGCGTCAAATGCAACGTAGATTTCCATCCAATTAGATTGAATTTGGTATTAATGACGTGAAAAATAATAACGGTAACTCCATTGAAATGATTCAAAACTAAAGTAACGAGCCAATTTTATAAAATGTAAGGAGTAGAAACTACAGATATTTGTGTAAAAATGTAAGGAGTAGAAGTAAAAAGTTGCCATAAAAATAAGTAGTAAAGTAAAAATATCAGAAAAATCTACTTCCCATCTCTGCTCACAACAGACCAAAGCACACAAATCCTTCTTACCAAGAATATAGTCATACACAAAATTTTCCACAACAGCGACATCCCGCCTTTTCTTTGACCCACAGCTGCTGAATCATACCTCGAATGTTTCATCTTCCACCTCTGCCATTGACCATCCTGCTTCTGTGTCTTTCTTCTTGTCACGGTCTTGGTTCTGTTAAGTTTTCTTTCGAATATTCAGTTTTACTTTGCTGCATGTTTTCTAGTTTTATTGGTTTAATTCCAATTTTGTTGTGTTTTCTGGATATATTTGAGTTCTTAGGTTTTTCTTGTTGCCCTCTAGTGTTGGTCTCCTTTTTCCTAGCTCCTTTCTAGAAGCCGCTGTTCACACCTGCTCCCAATCAGCTTGTTAGTCAGCCATAAATACTCTCCCTGTGCAGTTCCTCAGTGCTGGTTCCTTGTATTTCTCCGCCTTTTCTTGTCTCCTCATGTTTGTTTTCCCTGATGTCTCCAAGGTTCTGGTTTTTCTGTATTTTTCAGATTCCTGCCTCAGTTGCCTGTGAGTACTTAGTAATTTCATTCAATCTTCAAAAACTCACCTCTGCCTCCTGACCTCTGCATTTGGGTCCTTAAAAACCACAACCAAGCCCTGACAGAAGGAACCAGCCACCAAGGACCACGCAGAGCCAACCAATGGGGCAGGAAAATCACTTTTACTCATTAGATGCACACTGGAGAGTCTACCCTTCATCAGTCCTCCTTGTAAGCGGGTGAGTGCAGCGGAGCAGGTAAAGGAGAAATTGGAATGTTTCCTGAACTCCATAGTTTTTTTCTTAAGACTGGTTACATCGCTGAAGCTATATGGAATATACAGGACGCTTTTGCTCAACTACTCAATCAACCTTCAACACCCAGACCACAACTGATCGAACCTTCTAGTACTCCCCTCTGGTACGCCAGTCACAGCTGTTTTTGCTTCTGCTGTTTCTCGGATCCCATCTGCTTCCAAACGCAGACACCGCCGCCGGGGGAAGAAGGCCATTCCCTCTCGGGCGGGTCAGCTTGATGCCTCCACTCCCTCTCCTGTAGGTCAGCCTGTAGTTAGCCTTACGTCACCACTCCCTCTCAGTGGGTGTCACCAGGTCAGTTTACCCAGTGGTCACAGTCATCACCTCCATGATCAACAGCTAGGCTCATGAATAAGAAAACTCAAGCCAGGTCCAAGTATAACACCCTCTTCAGTCAGAGCTCAATTTATGCCTAATTTATGGGACTACTTTTATGGGGAGAGAGAAGACTTTCTCCCTTTCCTGCCACCTCCATCAGCTCCCTGCTAGCCAGCTGTCTCCAAAACAGAGCCCTTTAGCGGGCCAGTCCCCGAGCCAGAGCCCTTTAGTGGCCAGTCCATGAGCCCGAGCCCTTTAGTGGTCCAAGAACCCCTGAGCACATACTGTGCCATCCAGAGAGCCCTGAACCTAAGGATAGGTCTAATGGAGAGACTGTGAACTGTGAGACGTCCAGGGTTATGAAATCTTATGGCCGTCCTCCAGAGACTCTTTCTCGTCTACCGCCTCACTGCTAGAAATGAGTAACAATGTCTTAAATGAAGTGTATTTACCCCTAATTTAAGTAGGTAAATAAGATGATCTGGCAATGGAATTAGTATTTTTCCGCTTAAATAGATAATTAGATAATATGCACTTAAAATAAGACAATGCAATGTTTTTTTTTCTTATTTTAAATCATGTTTTAAATGTAAATTGTCTTCTTCCATTGGCAAAGTGTCTTACTTAACTCCTCAATTCAAGAAAAATGCGCTTATTTTAAGAAAAAAATTATGTATTCAGAATTCAATCTTTTGTAGTGTTCAACCTCAGCCCGACCCAGGAGACGTTCCATTGATTTGGAAGACCTCCTGGCTTGTTCCAGTGCCAAACAAGACTCAGCTAACAGTCCTCAGTGATTAAAGACCTCCTGCCCTGATATCCTACATTAGGGGTTTGCAAACTTTCCAGCCAAGAGGCACTTTGTAACCTCTGCAATAGCTCTTAGTAATAGTCTAAAATTATTTAAAGAAGCAACTAATGAAGTATGATAACAAATGCCAGTCTTAGAAGCGTTTGCTATTTTTTTGTTCTATTGTTTGTTGAATTTTCCCAAAGAACCAATGATGCTTTTAGATCTGTTTTTCTTGTCTTTAGCTTGGATTTTCTCATAAAGTAATACCCTATCGAAGAAAATCCATTCTTCATCTTAATGAAACATTTTCTATTTTTCCTCATTTTAAAAGCTAAAACTACAAATGAACTGTTTGTTTTTAGAAAAGGCAACTGGCTTACTATATCAGATATTTAACATAAAATAATAAGCTATGTTTTTATTCTAAAGAATATATTATGTCATGAAGAACCTAGAGTGATGTCTGTTTGTCCACCTGAGCAAGCAAACCAGCAGCTATCAGGACCACCCTGCAGTTTGCTTATTTTTGTCTAGACGGAGTTAATGATGTCATTATACACCTGCTTCAACAAACCCACTGTCATTTAGACAAGGAATACAGCACTTATAATCATTCTTTTTTACTTTTAACATGATTCAGCCTGAATGACTTTTTCAGAAAGGTTAGGCATTAATCCATATTAAAATGTTCATGACAGTGTTTTTTAAAACAATTCTAAGCCTGAAAGCAACCTTTACATATACGTAAAAACTTAAATACCAACTTCTGCAGTTGAAATAAACAAAAGTTCTGGTTAGTTGTTGCACTGTTTGCCATCTGGTTGCCATGTATTGCTAGCAATAAAATGTAATCTTACTGTTTAGAACAGAATGGACAACTGATGAGACTGTTTGCTTCTAAAGTCGGCACCAGTGTTCAAAAGCCTGACTGATGGTTCCCCTTGTTTTGCTGCTTTTTTGGTCCTCCTAAATCTGAGAAATGTAACACAGATAAGAAGCCATTTTTCAGAGCTATCAGGAAGCCACTATGATCTGGCATCGCTCTGCATCACATGACTTCAACCTCCCATTACTGGTTCTGAATCCTTTTAAATCCTTTGAAACATCTCCTTTTAAACAAGAGATGTTTATGTTAGAAATACTCCAGTCGGTTTTCTTAATCTACACTGAAATTTGGCAGTTAAACTTTTAAACAAATTTGAATGCTATCAGTGTAGGCATTTCATTGTGTGCATGAGTCACACACAGAAAACATTGCAAAAGGTGTCTTCGCTTAGTGCTTAACTTGACAAACAACATTTCTGATAGTGATAGCCAGTGATATGGGCACAAACGTGCTCATACAAAACATTGTCGACTGTCATGATTAGTCAATATAAGACAACGTTCGTCTGGAATCTAAAATGATGGGATACAAATCCTTAACTCTGAGTAATACTTATAAAAATGTATCAAGTTTGCGTTTATTGAATTCTTCAGTAACTATGTATATTTTGAATCTCTCTTGCTTTCTTTCTCACATATATCTAAACAAATGACAAAGAACAAACATTCACAGACTGTGACCACACAGGTGAGTAAACAGTATGTTCCTGTACTTTGGAGCGGTAACTTGGTTTTAACCTGCAGTGCTTGAGCACTTGTGTCATAATCCATCAGATCACTAAAAACGGCAAAAATGGCCAGAGTTTGTCTGCTGGTTTTCATTGTTTATATTCAACTGGGGATATCTGGACTGAGTGCTGACACTGCAGAGGACAACACAGGTAAATAGCCACATCCATAGCATTGCTTACTAAAAAAAAAAACACACCAGATACATAGAACCTATAGATCTTAAGGTGAGTTTCTGCCGGAGGATTTCTGTTTCCTTTCATCAGAGATTCTCTTTAGCTGTAAATAGCATGTTTATCTGTAAAGACAGTCAAAGTCATTTCAAAATAGGAAAACTGAAATTCAGTAAAAAAATATTTAAAAAAACTCAACAGATTGGCAAACCAGTTGATTAAATCATCTCATTGACTAGAGGGTAATCCCTCACACTAAGCATGCTTGTAGCGACAGTGGAAAGGAAAAACTCCCTTTTAACAGGAAGAAACCTCCAGCAGAACCAGGCCAAATAGAAAGCTGTCTACTTTTTTTCTCTGGCTACCACTTAATGCATTCTGTATCGAATAATACTGTAATTTGCTGTTTTGTATCAGTGGTTCTATATCATTTGGTTGTGCTCTTCTTTTTACATCTGTCTCTGCAGGTAATGAAGCAAACTGATGAAGTTTTATCAATATCTATCTTTTGTCTTCTCTTTCTTTCACCTTCTCTCCCTTTTATTTATTTTTATTGCAATGTCTATATAACATAAATCATTCCCCACATAAACCATAATAAAATTATTTACATAATTCAAGCAGAGCCATGTGGTGAAAGTGATAATGTTCCACTTGTGAGAGTAAAATCTGTTGGGCTCTTTTTGGCCTCAGACAGGACGCTGCAAAAAAAATAAATAAAATAAATAAATAAATATATATATATATATATATATATATATATATATATATTTTTTTTTTTTTTTTTTTTTCCCCCCCTTTGGTAGTAAAACGAAATAGGGCTGAGATCTGTTTTGCTTTGTGATGACCAAACTGAAGAATTACACAAGTTTTTATCAACCAAAACATACATTTTTAATTACTCAGAGGAGCTCCAGTTTTAGAAATACAGGTTTATAATATGCTTTTATTTTGTGTATATTTCAATTCCTTACTAACTTCCAGGCAACATACTTATGTTTTGTATTTAAAAAGGAAAGAATTAATTAAAATAGTTTTATTTCAGATTCCGTTATGGTACATTTCACTTTTGGACAACCATCAATATTTTTGACTGAGAGGCGTAAAACAAAATGAACACACAAAATGCCCAAAGTACACAATTCAAAAAGGGTTGGGAAACACTGCTGTAAAGTACAACAAATTGCAATCAAAATAGATTGATCCAATGTGAGTTTTGGATATTTTATATAATTCGCAGTATTATCAAAGTTATTTCATATTTTGCAGCCTTTTACGTTTTCATTAGGGTTAAACAGATTTTGTCACGTGATCTCTGAATTTTTTTTTCGTTCTCATTTTCCTTTTAGAGACTGTGTTTATCTCTCAGCAGACAGCACACTTGGTGCTGAAACGCCAACGACGATACAACAGTGGCCGTTTGGAGGAAATCCTACAGAAGGCTAACCTGGAGCGGGAATGTAGGGAGGAGCAATGCAACATGGAGGAGGCCAGGGAGTGGTTCGAGGACGACGAGAAAACTGTAGGTTTGTACACAAGCAAATCAATAAATCTTCTGCCTAGAGTTTTTTTAATATATTTTATATCTTTGGTATTTCTGTTTCACTTCCAGACACAGTTCTGGGCTGCCTATATTGGTAAGTGAAATATTTATCATCTTTCCACACTGTAGAGTTAAATCAGGTCTGAATCTATGTGTTTGTTTTATCTTTGTCCATAGATGGTGATCAATGTGAGCCAAAGCCCTGCCAGAATGGCGGAGTTTGTCAGGATGGAGTAGGCTCGTATATCTGCTGGTGCAGACCTAACTTCAGTGGCAAAAACTGTGAGACCGGTAAGTATAACAAACAACAAAGTAATCTTTTCAGCATAGAAGCAGTTTAAGGGTCTGTTCTCTTTTTTTACAGACATGACCAGACAGTGTTCTGTCAACAATGGTGGCTGTTCGCATTTCTGCAAAATGCAAGCACGGCGGGCTGTATGTCATTGTGCAGCTGGTTATAAACTTGGAACAGATAGAAAAAGCTGTGAAGCAACAGGTAAAAGAAAAAAAGTAACATTCACATAAACACAACACTGAGCAGAGTTCTCTGGATTTTATCTACAATGTATTCTTTCTGCTGCATAGAAAATCAACCACCTAGAATCAACAATGCAGACATTTATAGATGTTCAGTGTTGGAAAGGTAATAGTTATGTAGAAACTATATACTGGTCAGCAAAGATGTAACATTTATCTAAAACGCAGCCAAGGTATTCCCTCCAAGGTCATCTGACCCTAAAAGACTTATAAGGGAGTAATCATCATATTACAACTTTTGTATATAACACTTAGAAAGACGGGTTTACAAATAAAAACATTGGAAATCTGAGTTAAACAGCTGTTAAACTCAGGCAATGTTTATTGTCTCTTCAGGATCATTCAGTTGTGGTATTGTGAGCCTGTCCTCTGGAGCTGTTACCAGATCACTCAGGTGGGCAGCATCCTCAAACCCAGCAAGCTCTGTTAAAATACAACAAAACTCCACCAGCAGCCATCAGGATTACTACGATTATTATGAAGAAACTGAGGATTATCCCAACCCCCCATTGAATGCATCAGACCTGTCTGACAACTCATCAGCTTCTGTAATAAATATAAGGTCAGTGCGGTTGAGCTCCAGTTCCTCTTTAAACTCTGCTAACACTGTAAACATCAGTGCCACGACAGATGCAACCAAAAGTCCTCTAGAAAAGTATTCCTGGGGTTTCCCTACACTCCCCACCATCACAGAGGACAAAAACTCAGACCAGAGGATTGTTGGAGGAAATGATGCCAGACCTGGAGAGATACCTTGGCAGGTACAGTCTTTTTGAATGCAAAATGAAGGTGGTTAATAATTTTTTAATCATAAGTCATACATTTTTAGTATAGGATCAAAACTTTGAATTGATGTAACACTGTTTTAAAACCAGCCCACTGATGGCATAAATAGGGGCCCCATCACTGACACCTGGTGGGTCCCCTAACAAGAACGTGTCCTTGCAAATATAATGGTGCGAAAATTTCCTATTAAACCCACCTGATACTTAAGTGACTGACCGCAGCGGACCATATTTATACCGCAACACATGCCAGATAAGCATAAGCATCTTCCTGATAAGCATCTCCCTGAAATTAGTTTTGGGAACTTGAGATGTCTGTGTCAGGTCTAAGCACCTAAAACATCATACATACAGGGAAAGAAAGAAGGCACATAGACAATTAATTTAGTTACTCGCGAGGAGAGTAGGAAGAGACTGCGGAGTTTACAATCTCCACCCCACTCTGCAGTCTTCAGCTTTCTCCTTGCTATTTATTGAAGAAAAGGGGATGTCCCTAATTACACCAGCTGAGGTTTAACTAAGGGAAAGGGAAACAAAAGGATCTTACTTTAAACCTCAGCACATACACTCACCGGCCACTTTATTAGGCACACCTGTCCAACTGCTCATTAACACTTAATTTCTAAGCAGCCAATCACATGGTGGCAACTCAGTGCATTTAGGCATGTATACATGGTCAATCAATCTCCTGCAGTTCAAATCGAGCATCAGTATGGGGAAGAAAGGTGATTTGAGTGACTTTGAACGTGGCATGATTGTTGGTGCCAGAAGGGCTGGTCTGAGTATTTCAGAAACTGCTGATCTACTGGGATTTTCACGCACAACCATCTCTAGGGTTTACAGAGAATGGTCCGAAAAAGAAAAAACTTCCAGTGAGCGGCAGTTCTGTGGGCGGAAATGCCTTGTTGATGCCAGAGGTCAGAGGAGAATGGCCAGACTGGTTCGAGCTGATAGAAGGGCAACAGTGACTCAAATAACCACCCATTACAACCAAGGTGGGCAGAAGAGCATCTCTGAACGCACAGTACGTCGAACTTTGAGGCAGATGGGCTACAGCAGCAGAAGACCACACCGGGTGCCTCTCCTTTCAGCTAAGAACAGGAAACTGAGGCTACAATTTGCACAAGCTCATCGAAATTGGACAATAGAAGATTGGAAAAACGTTGCCTGGTCTGATGAGTCTCGATTTCTGATGCGACATGATGGTAGGGTCAGAATTTGGCGTCTACAACATGAAAGCATGGATCCATCCTGCCTTGTATCAACGGTTCAGGCTGGTGGTGGTGGTGTCATGGTGTGGGGAATATTTTCTTGGCACTCTTTGGGCCCCTTGGTACCAATTGAGCATTGTTGCAACACCACAGCCTACCTGAGTATTGTTGATGACCATGTCCATCCCTTTATGACCACAATGTACCCAACTTCTGATGGCTACTTTCAGCAGGATAATGCGCCATGTCATAAAGCTGGAATAATCTCAGACTGGTTTCTTGAACATGACAATGAGTTCACTGTACTCAAATGGCCTCCACGGTCACCAGATCTCAATCCAATAGAGCATCTTTGGGATGTGGTGGAACGGGAGATTCGCATCATGGATGTGCAGCCGACAAATCTGCGGCAACTGTGTGATGCCATCATGTCAATATGGACCAAACTCCCTGAGGAATGCTTCCAGCACCTTGTTGAATCTATGCCACGAAAAATTGAGGCAGTTCTGAAGGTAAAAGGGGGTCCAACCTGTTACTAGCATGGGGTACCTAATAAAGTGGCCGGTGAGTGTATGTTAAAACAAAGCATGTGGTTGTTTTACAATTGAATTGTTCCAAGAACACATGTTTAGAAGAAACATGTGATAGAGGCTGTTCAGGCTTCTTTCACAACCGGTCCGTTGCATGACCTTTATCTGGAACAATCTTAAGCAAGAGTTAACAAAGGATGAATCACACATTATACATCATAATAGTTCATTAGAACACAACCCATGAAACACAAACGGAGTATAAATGAAATATTGCTAACAGTCTGTAACATGTGGTGGTGCGCTGTCACCAATGGTTCCATTCAAGGTGCGCAGTCACTATTTTTCTGTGTGTGATGTGTGATCATATATTACTGAGAATTACATAATTGTATCCTCTTGGCCAATTTATGGAACTGTCGCCGTATCCTAAACCTTTATCTCGTTTTGTACTTGGTATGGAGCCCACACAGATAATGTTGCTTACTTGCTATTGTTGGGTCATTACACCATTGCAACCCACAGTATCAGACTTAGAAACTTAGACAAACTATATTGTCATTTTGTATACACCGAGTGTATACAAAACGAAAATTACGTTGCTTACAGCTTCCAACAGTAAAATGAGCAGATTAAAACAGTGAAATGAACATTACCATTTTAAAGTGCAGCAGTGATCATCATGTAAACAGTATAGCATAAAAGTAAAACCAGTAAAAAAAAAATGGTGCAAAAAGGCATTAATATGGAAAGGTCCAGTACAGTGCAAAATGCAGTATAACATTGAGTTGTGTCCTATTTAGTAGGATTATAAAAGTTTCAGCCACGTTGGTGGTGTAAAATAATGCAAGTGTGATGCAGAGTCCAGTTTAGAGTTTCAACAGTTTAACAGTCTGTTGGCAGCGGGGGGAAAACTGTTGCACAACCCGCTGGTCATGCAGCGGATGCTGTGAAACCTCTTCCCAGAGGGCAGCAGGGAGAACAGTCAATGGTGGACATATGAAGGGTCATTTATAATGTTACAGGCTCGAGACACGCAGCGCTGGGATAAAATTGTTTATGAATGGAGGGAAGAGGACTCCTGATGATCCTCTCCAATGTCCTCCTGGGTTCACCACAACTGTTTAATATTTTTGCAAAACCTGCCTTTCCCAGAGGGGTCTCTTAACCTTTTCCACAGTATTTAACACATACTTTTCTTGTTGTTTTTTCCCCCCAGCTATTATACCACAATAATAATAATACAGGGAAGTACCATCCCACAATATTTCCTTATCTGTTCATATATGAGGTTTCTGTATCTTGACAATGCATTTTAGCCTCCATCTCTCCAGTCTGCCACTCACAACCACATTTAATCAATTAGAATATTATTGAAAGGCTACCTTATTTCAGTAACTACATTCACAAAGTGGAAAAAAAAGAATATAATAATTACACACAGGCTGATTCTTTCAAGCATCCATTTCTGTTCATTATGATGGTTTAGCATACAACTAATGAAAGGAGGACATAAAAAATTAGAGCATCATGTCAGACTAATGCCTGCTTTGAGGTTATTATTTTCTAAATGTGTTTTCAATCCGACAAGCTTGCCTGATTAGAAGATATACAGCTATCTAGGTCTCAACTTGATGAAAAGAAGAAAAAAAATCATGGGGAAAAAAACTCTGACATAATCTCTATATATAATTTAAAAACTTTGTACACTGAAAACTATTTTCTCCCATAACGATATTTTGATTTTGTTTTTCGTGGGAGTCTTTTGTCACATTAAAATGCTAATGTGAGGATTTTAGAAGAAATTTGTTTTCAAATGGTTAAGTTTTCATTCATGCAGAGGAAAATCTATCCAAGCCTGTTTGGCTCTGTGGGAAAAATGCAACGATGCCCTGAAGGTAATAGTGGATTGGCAGAAACAGACTCTACAGTATAAAACATGAAAAAGCACAGTGTCTTTTACATAGTTTCAGACCACATTAAAGGATTTTATTTATTTATCCAATTTTTTTTTCTCCAATTTAGACCCAGACAAACTTTCCTACTTCAAAGCTATCCATACTTACCATGAGGGTCTGTCTCTAGTCCAGTCTAGGGCTGTGTCATGATGGGTTTTAAATGTTCAGCCCACATACAGAAGCAAACTCAGAGTTTAACAGTTTATTGAAAATTGGGGAGCTCAGAGGCAAGGCAAATTTATTTGTATAGCACAATTCAGTACAAAGACAATGCAAAGTGCTTTACATGATTAAAATACAGGAAGATAAAACAGAATCAAAGCAAGTAGGAAAAAATAAAAAAAATAAAAAATAAACAAAATAAAAAAATGCAGAAACAAAAAAAGAATATTAAAAACAGTTGGATTAAAGAAAATATGTTTTAGTTGAACTGTTTAATTAGAACAGTTGAAGGCAATCCTAAACAAATGTGTTTATAGTCTTGATTTAAAGGAACTCAGGCTTTCCGCACTTATACAGTTTTCTGGAAGTTTGTTCCAGATAAGTGGAGCATAGGAACTAAATGCTGCTTCTCCATGTTTAGTTCTGGTTCTAGGTATGCAGAGCAGGCTGGAGCCAGAAGACCCGGGTGGTCTGGAGGGTTGATACACTGATAGCAAGTCTGTATTGTATTTAGGTGCTAAGCCATTCAGAGATTTATAGACTAACAGAAGTATTTTAAAGTCTATTCTCTGAGATACAGGAAGCCAGTGTAAGGACTTTAGAACTGGGGTGATGTGCTCTACTTTCTTAGTCTTAGTGAGGACAGAGAGACAAAACAATGGTTATCACAGCTTGGGGGAAATCCAGCGGTCTGGTGAACCGTAAGCGCAAACTCTAGGAGGAGATCAGAGTGATGAGTTCAAGGTCCATTGGAAAAACAGGTTGATACTGATACATAGCCAGATAAGGACTCACTGTAGAGGTTTGTGGTTGCTCCTTGATTCTTGTTTGTAGGGGGGCTTGTTCAGATTAGGAGATTACTTGCTGGAAGGTGGACAGGCAGACTAATGGTGGTCCAGAGAAGCAGCGGAGCAGGCTGTCACAAGCTTTCCTGAAGTGGTCTGCGTATTTATCAGATGAATAGTTTCTTTCTCTCAGAGAGATGAACAAATTCCTTCCCAGGCTTGACGGTCCAGGCTTATCCAGTTGATCAGGAGATAAGCCTGCCGGAGACCACAAGAGAGACAAAGGGTTAGAACCAGAGGACTCAGAGAAACGAAAACTCAAAGGTTAGACTCGGCTAAACTCAGAGGGGCTAGAGTACCCAATACTGGCAAACACTCTGGCGAGGAGATGGTGACAGTCCGCTCCTCATATACTCCTCAGATGGTAATGACCAACGAGTTTTCCTGAAAGTCTTGAGATAACTGACATGTTAATAGCAGATGTGACTTTCTGTTCTGAACATGGAACTCTCTTTCGAATGCTATTTTTTACGCAGTCTCTTTCTTAACTTTGAACTTCAAAGAGGTAACCTAAACTGTAGATTTTCATTCATCAACTACTATCCATATGTATATATACAGAGATGGGAAGTAACGAAGTACAAATACTTCGTTACTGTACTCAAGTAGATTTTTCTGATATTTTTACTTTACTTTACTACTTATTTTTATGGCGACTTTTTACCTCTACTTCTTACATTTTTAGACAAATATCTGTACTTTCTACTCCTTACATTTTAAAAAATTGGCTCGTTACTTTAGTTTTGAATCATTTCAATGGAGTTACCGTTATTATTTTTCACGTCATCAATGCCAAATTCAATCTAATTGGATGGGAATCTACGTTGCATTTGACGCACCACTACAAGATGAATCGACACATTCGGCGGTATTCATTCGCTGCAAATCCTTGCAGCTTGGTGGCGTTAGCATAGTAGTATGGACGACGAGATGATTGAAAATGAACACAACAGAGATCTAGTCCTATTGGCAGACATCCATTTAAAATGTAGGCAATGGCATGAAAAAACTGGTTTGTACTTTTACTTTTATACTTTAAGTAAATTTACAAGCCTGTACTTTGTTACTTTTACTTGAGTAAAGAAGTTTAATCAGTACTTCCACTTTTACCTGAGTATTTTTTAACACAAGTATCTGTACTTTTACTCAAGTACGGAAAGTGAGTACTTTTGCCATCTCTGTATATATATATATATATATATATGTTTGTGTGATGTATTTTTAACACCCATAACATTTCAGCATGAAAAAATCCTTTTCTCCCCTCATTTAAAGCAGTGTTGTGCAAAATAGACTTTTGTTAAGTTTTACCTCAAAATTTCTTTGTGATGAAAATAACAGCATTGACAAAAAATAAGTATTTAAAATTTCTTTGTGTTTTTGTTTTTGGCAATTGTATGCCAGTGACTGCAGATAAGTGCAATCAAAGCCCCGTATAAACTGCTCTTAAACTGCACATTCATTATGGGATATCAGAATCAGAAATACTTCAATAATCCCAGAGGGAAATTACTTTTTTCACACACTCCAGTTACAGTTTTATATATATATATATATATATATATATATATATATATATATATATATATATATATATATATATATATATATATATATATATAAACACATCCAACTACACAAGATAATAAAAATAAAAATAAAAATATAGACTGCCTAATGAGACCTCTGCAATTAAACCTATATTCCTATTAACTACAAAAAAACACAATAACTGATGTTGGACATATTTGCAAATGCATTAATATTGATTAATGATTTCATGGAATTAACAGTGGAGAAAATGTTTTTTATAATTTAAAGGGTTTTGAGGTTTTCATACCTGACCAACTGGAAAATAAAATGTAACTTAATATCTATTAATTTTTTTACCTAACTTACTTAATTTAATTACTTAAATTTAATTACTTATTATAGTAAACTTTTTAACAAGGATGAAAAATTAAAAGCAAAATGTGTTAAAAACAAACGTGAAAGGCCAGAGTGAGGTTTACTGGACTGTTGATTAAAGTAAAAGTTTCCCCGTTTGCATTCGCAGGTGGCCCTAATGACTTTTCTACCCAAGTATAACAAAACGCTGCCTGTCTGTGGAGGCTCTCTGATTAGTGAATTTTGGGTAATCACTGCTGCTCACTGTCTGGTTACGGCCAGATTAAATGGACACAGTATCTTCGTCAGAGCTGGTGAGAGAAACAAAACTCTGTGACTGCATACTTTAAAAAAGAATATTCTATAAAGAACATATCCTGACGTCTGCAATTATGCTATTAAAATGTGAATTAATTTCATTTTATTACATTTCCAGGTGAATTTGATGTGAACGTGGTCGAGGCTACAGAGAGCAACCATGATGTGGCAGAGGAGCACATCTTCCCCTCTTATGACTATAATAAATCCCAGTACGATCATGATCTTGCCCTACTGAAGCTGTCCACTCCTGTTGTACTCTCAAATGAGAGACGTCCCATCTGCCTGGGCCCAAAACCCTTCATACAGAGTCTCCTAAGAGATTCCAGCAGCTCCTTGGTGAGCGGCTGGGGACGGACGGGCAGCCTGGGCCGTCTGTCCGAAAAGCTTCAGAAGATATCTGTTCCTCACGTGGACCGTACACTGTGCCACCAGAGCAGCAAGTCCAAAATCAGCGCTTTTATGTTCTGTGCTGGCTTTTCAGATGGTTTGAGTGATTCCTGTGAGGGGGACAGCGGTGGACCACATGCCACCAACTACAAAGGAACTTGGTTCCTCACTGGCATAGTCAGCTGGGGGGAGGGTTGTGCCCAGAAGGGGAAATATGGTGTCTACACCCGAGTTTCACGGTACTACTCCTGGATTACTGGAAAAACTGGAATCTTAGAGAACAACTGAAAATGTTTAGCTTGGTTTATTAAGGGTTTGGTCAACTTTTTTCCTTATAAAAGTTAGAAGAGGTTAATTTCTCACCTATATTAAATATCACTCTTAGTTCCTTGCAATGAAATCAGAGGCTGAAGCTAATGGTTAGATTGAGGAGGACAAACAGCAAAGGAGATTTCTACCATCTCAAAACAACTATAACCTCAAAAATATCATAACAGTCAAGGCCAAGGCTATTTTGTGATCTTTTGAGTCATCATCTTGTTTGGATCAGGATGGTATTTATACAGATATCCGTTTTTTTTTGTTTTTTATTATGGAGGCAGGAAGTAGAGTGCCAGTTAATTTTCCTATGGGAAACACAAACTGACAGAGGAAACATTTAAAGATTAGAAAAAATTAAATAAAATTAGATTAAAAGAAAATGTTGCTGCTTGAGATTAGGTCTAAGTAATTTATTTGACCTTCTCTCTCCCTGACTCATTAAAGTAGTTATTCTTTTAGCTCAGCATCTGTGATCCACAACCACAATGCCAAGGAATGATATTGACTCTAATGTTTTACGCACAAATCCACAGACAAAATAAAAAAAAGAATCTTTTTTACTGATAGTTACACTAAACATATATATATATATATATATATATATATATATATATATATATATATATATTAAAAAAACTATTCTCTGAATATCATATATTGGTCTTCGTGTCCTAAACACACATTCTCCTTACCGAACATTCTGACCACATCATCTCTAAGAAATGCAGCACAATATAAAGATGGAGCAGGTAATAAATAAAGAAGAAAGAAAAACGGGAAGAACAGTGTGTACCTCTGCAGAGTTTGTTCTTAGTCTGATCACTCAATCCTCCATCTCCCTTCTCTCTATTTTTCCTACATGTAGCAAGTTCATTGTGCAAACATCTTAACTAGAGTTTTTTTCCATGTCTGTTTTCAGTGCATGTGAAGATTAACTGCTGGCAAACTGCTTCTAATCATACGAGATACCAGGTCAAAGTATGTAAAGTAACATTTGGATTGAAGTTGATAGTAATCCTTTTTGTCTTTACACTCTGTTACTTGTAGTGGACCTCTGAGAGCTAAAAAGACAACATTATGTTATGTAATAGCGTTACTAACAGAACCTTTACTTAAGCATCTTAGGATAAGCTCCCCATATTCCCTCTAAGCACTGGAACAAAAACTAAATCTTCAATCTGAAATAAATGAAGACACAAAAACTATCCAAGCTTTGAGATTATGTTTCAAAAATAGTTTAGTTATTATAGCTATTATAAGATTTGACATTTTTCTAAAACTGTTTTCTCTGTGTTTATATGTTGTTATATCTCTGCTTCTTTTTTTCCATAACCCTCTTTTATCGGGAACCAGTGCATCGGATGTTATATAATTTTCCACAACAGAACAATATTTTTAGCACCAATATTTGCCTGAGCTCACCAGAAAATAAAAATGTCCCTGTAACACTTTTTTATTTGGTTTTTGAAACCCTTCTTTTCAGCTCTTAGGGATGTACAGTGTCTATTGTTTGCTCCTGGGACTATGCTGGCTCACAGTAGGGGTACTGCTTACTTGAGCTTCTTACGACTATCTGAATGAGTAAAATGAGCTGGTGTGAGAGTAGAAACCTTTACTACCCTTATACAAAGGTTATTTGGTTTTTAAGGTGCTAAATGTCTTGGAAATGGTGCCCAAATCCTGCCTTCAAACTCAATAATGATCTTATATATGTGATAATATGGCCAAGTCGGACAAATAAGCAGCTGAGATACATTTTTTATATTTTTTTTAAGGATTAAAGGCAATGAATGATCATAGGGACTTTCAAACCAGTGTAGAACACCTGAGGACATAATACTGGGAAGAAGTTTTTAAAAATGTGAATAGATGTGAATTTAACCACAATAAAATACATAACCATCTAAAACTGAGAATAAGGAATTAAGCAATGGATCTAAGACTGCAAATTATGGCAAAATTCCATATCAAAGAGAAATAAAATCAATCAATCCATCAATCAATTTCTTTATCGTCAATTTGCATTGTAATGGAGATTTCAGTTTCTGTACAAACCGTTCATCCCTTACATGACATACATTGGAGCGGAGGGGGGTGTGGGGGTGGGGGGTTCGAGAGGGAGAACAATTTACTGAGGCCATGTGTGCCGCAGAATGCTGTCATTGCCGTGTTCTTATGGCTGCCATGGGCCCCACCGTGAGGCGGTTCCCTATAGAGCTGCCTTTTATCTCCATGGAAAGATAGGAGCCACATTGGGGAGGGAGAGGAAAAAAAAACATATTTCAAAGTTTAACTTTGAGGATACAGTTTGAGATATCAAAAAAAAAAACTCAGTACAAGAAAAGCACAGTCAGGCAGTTCGGGCCCTTCCGCCATAACATCCAGGGGAGGTTTGATAAAGGGGAGGCCGAATCCAAAAGAACACTTATTGTTTTGAGAGCAGGCTCTACAGGAATTTTCTGTCAGTCTTTAATCTTTTCTTGCTGGATCCACATGGCGAATCCAATATTTAAAAATTGTGCGGTTTTTCTGCCTTGTAACGAGCGTGCACACCCAAAGATATTATCCCATTACACCTTTGAGTTCAACCACCGCACCCAGCCTGCATTCAGTCACACCCAGCATGCCACTCAGCACACGGTCCTACTCATTCACAGCCTTTGTGAGGGCATCAGCCGCTGCTGGCAGCCTGATCAATGCCCAAATTGTCGCTGACATCCTCTGTAATTGTGGATACATCAGGTATCCTCCAAATCCATAAGAGTAAAGTCCGAAAATCCATACATACATCCTCCAGTGACAACATTGTAAAACACACCATCCTCCAAGTCTTCAAGGAGTCCATGGTGTATCCCACAAAGTATGTCCCAGCAGGACAGGACAGGTCCCCTTTTCTCTATTTTTCAATTGAGATATTTTAAATTGCATTGAGAGACCAGCTGACCAGATCCATTGTTTGAATTTGGATGATATGAAGAGAGGGCTCAGAAAAAACAAGACACAGCAAAGCATCAACAGAGCAGGGAGTTGCAGAGCAGCAGGAAAATGCATCCGCCTCCTTCAAAAGTAAAATAAAAATAAAAGAAACATTCACTGGCATCAACTTTTGAACAATATCTTTTAAAGCTAAACTACCTGGCTGCGTTTGATTCATCAAGTGTACAGGAACTAACAGCACAGTGAGGAATTCAATTAAAACATAATAAGCAAGAGTAAGATTCAGCCAAGATAAATAAACACCAACAGGCCTCTGGGAGGATGTTTTATTAAGCACTAAAAAATTAAAACATCTTTGTGGAGCTTTTAATAATCCTGATGGACTAGAACAATCAGAGATGCAAATTGAAATGAACCATACAAACACATAGAACAGGATGAACTGAATCAAATAACCATGTGCTTATATTTTGGAAAATATATTCAGGCATTATGAATTATAATACAAACTTTCTAAATGTTTCAAAACATAGAAAAAAAGTGCAAAGTGAGCTAAAGCAGCAAGCCGGTTCAAGTTCAGAAGCCTGACTAAACAACATCTCTAACTTCTGTTAGTTTGAGAAATCTAGCATGTCAGCACTCATTATGAAGAGGCTACAGCCCAACAAGAGGTGATAAATATAGTGAGATTAAATCTGAATTCAAGTTTGTCTTGATTCTGCAGTACTGGAAGACTTAAAGTTGTTTTTTTAAGGATATGACTAATACAGTGTATTTTATGATTATCTGTTTACGTCATTTAATAGAGCTCGATTGGCCAAAGGGCTTTTCCTATTCAGATATATTTTAGATACTAAACTAATTGTTTTCTTTTTATGTACATATTAACATTTGACTGTCTGTTCATAAACTTTAGAGTGGCAGTGTTTTCATGACCACTTTTCCTACTTACATTTTTTGAAAACCCTGGCAGTTTTTATACAGGCAGTTAGTGGTAGGTTAATTCACTTTACAACTACTACATAAAAACAGTTTCCCTGTTTGTGTGACAGCAGAGGCAGAAATAACACTGAAGTCAAGTGCACATCTATAGCGAGGTTTTTGTCTATGCAAAGCCAAAAGCAAAGCAATAAAACACTTTGATAGATGGTTGCAATGGAGGAGAAGAGAAACACATGATTGCTAGGCTACAGATGTTTCAGCATCAGGAGCAAACTTGGAACAAATGGATAAAATAAGCAGCAGCAAAAAATGTATTACGGGCCAACAATGGATTCCCTTAACACCCTGAGTGTAATAAAGCAGATACAAACAATGGATGGAAGGTGGATGGATATCCTTAAAACTAACCTTAAAAAAAGTTAGCTTAGATTTTCTCTGATTCTCCTCCAGCTCTTGATGAACTTGAATTCACTTTACTAAACACCATGCCCTAAAAAGTCTTACTTTAAAATAAATCAGTGTGCTTCCTCGCAATGCATCCATGTATTTGATCAGGATGGATTTTGGTTGGCATGCATCCTTACATGCAAAATGTTGTCTTATTTTAGACTAAGAGCAGGAATAACCTCTTCTGCAAAAGATTGTTAAAACTAGGGATGCACGATATAATCGGCCCCCTATCGGTATTGGCCTGTATCGACCTTAAAGCTGAATATCGGATATCGGCCACCCCACCGATATTTAACCTGATATTTGATCAGCTTCTGAGTTTCTAAAGTCAAAAAATAAAAAATACTTCTTCTTCTTCCTCAAAAACTTCTTTTTTACAGACTTAAAAACTTCTAAAGACGAGGGAAAAAATATTGATACATTAAAATATCCCAATATCTTCATATCCTGAAATATTGCCATTTAAAAACACCATATCAATCTCTTTTACTAATGAAGTATTGCTATATGTCATCGTTATGCTACGAAATCCGCCGAAGATTCACGAAATTTTGCCATATTTTTATATGTTGATATATATTAACGCGGTATCGATCTATTTTACTAACAAAATCTCACAAGAATTTGCAAAATATCACGGGAGTTTGTAACAGAACAATGAAATTTCACGAGATTTTGAAAGTCAAATAGATCGATACCGCCTTTTTAAAAATCAATTTGATATCAGCATATGAAAATATATTTGAGTATATTATTTTTCAAAGTGTCAGAAATGGATAACAAAACTGCTATTTTCAATGACTACTTATTTTTGTCCAGCTTTAACATCTCTATCGGTATCGCTTATCGGCTACATGAGTTTTAAAATATCGGCATATCGGATATCGGCCAAAATCCCAATATCGTGCATCCCTAGTTAAAACCATTGGTGTACAAAGGTGATGGATTTATTTTTTGTACCCCTGTACTGGAACATTCATAGATGAATAAATAAAATAAAAAAATAAAAAAAAAGCATAAAGGATGAACACCGTTATATATGCAAAGAATTAAGATAACTCCAAAATCGGTTATCTTAATCCATTTAGGTTCTTTTTGTTCTGCAATTATAGGTAAATGCAGCTGGAAGACTTTTTTCACTTTATCACCATTTACACTAGAATAAGATCGCTCTACACGCTCCGAGGCCTCCGTGACTCAGTGATTTACGGCATGTATTTTCAATAGTTTACATGCGGTATGAGAGAATACAGGTGAAGGAAAATCCCACTCAAAATATACACTAACGAGTATATATTTTGATGCATATATTCAAAAGGAACCGTATTCAATAAATACATTTTATATTTTAAATGATCACAGTATGATAATCAAACCAAATTTTCTCCACCCATTCATTCCCTTAGCCTCCAAACTACTAGTTTTGGCAGATATTTCAGAGATCACCACTTCCTTCCAGTTAGAGGCTGTATTTCACAGGGACCTGAGAGGACACTGATCTCTTCTTTTTAAAGACAAACCATTATTTATTGCTTTGGAGATGGAGGAATATTTATTTCAACTGATTGGTAAGATCCTTCTGGATAGAGTTATAGCAGTGGCAGGGCAGACTGCTGGCGTGGATGTGATGATGTGCTGGTTTTAACTTTAAGCCTGCATCTATATCAATGACCTACTTACTATCACTGCAATTGGAATCGGCTATGGAGCACCTAAGACAAGCACATATAGCCCCATGATAATAACCCCAAATACCTTGCCTTAAAGGTATAGTGGAGGATTTTTGCAAATATTTGAAAAGTCCCGTCCTCTCCACTTAAAAAAAAATAAATAAATCAATGCACATGCATAATGCTGTACCCACTCCCGAAAGCCTTTTAAACGCGTGCGAGACCGTGCACTAGCCCATTTCTCCTTGTGCACGCTCTGTTTAAAAGTTGCTGTTGCATCGCTCATACAACCCTACTTTCCAAAAGAAGATTTGCAGTTTTTCCGCTATGCCAGACGCACCGCAACCGCACCGGTAAGTGAAAATAGGGACGAGCACGTAGGACGGCCTTACGTAAACATATCACCACAATGATGGAGGAGGACCACTTATTTTGATGATACACCCAGAAAAAGAACATCCTCCACCATACCTTTAAACATTTTGTCTGCGCTCAAAGTTAGAGCTTTACATGTATTACTATTGGCAAAAAAATCTCCCCAACACCCAGTGAAAACAGCGAGGTTGATATTTTATATCAATATATAGTGCATTCTTATTCCAGTGCAAATGGGCTCTAAGAAAATTTATGAGGTGATTTCTTCACCCGTAAAAAGAATACATCCCATAACGTCAAAGATGGCCACAGCAGGCGTCACTCAAAACAAAACGTCACAAACAGAAGCTTCAGTGGTCAGTTTTGCTATATGGCACACAAATGATACGTCCATAGCATCTGATTATGCTTTTTTAAATATTTTATAAGAAAATATCATTTATGATTTTAAAAGAAAAGTCCACATAGGAAGTATGAGAAGGAACCACCAAACTGGTCCGGTCCAAACAATCTTCTGCATCATTGCTGGAGAAGGTAGATAGTGATGGCTTGTGTGCTTTCCATTGTAACAGTCTTCTGAGGTCCGTCCCTTAATACTCAGCTCCTGATGGGGAACCTGTCACAGATCTCTGGAGGCTGATGCTGTTTTTCAGTCTGACTCGAATGAATCAAACGGCCACATTTGTTTAGCAGATTAAAGGATGATATGAGTTTTCTGGCAGAAAGGAACTTTTAAATGGCTCTCAGCAGCTTTCTCCCAGAATCCTGTGCAGGTCCTCAGACTGAACTCGACCTTCCTCACCACGACTGATATTCTTCACCATCCTGAAATTACAAACAATGCAGCAGAGGGCAAGAAGAGATTCTTAGGATTTTGGTATGCAACCATGTTTCTCTGAGAAATCAGAATAATTATAACACATTACCATACTCCTGATGAATCCTCATAAAGCAGCTGGATGACATCGCCACAGTTAAAGATGATGTCATCAGCGCTGGCCATGCTGCTTTCTACCATCACCCTATACCTGCCTGCCACCTGTAGCAGAGGAATACAAAGCTAATGGTAAACATGCACATAGAAAAACATCCCATTTCCTTTTCTCACTTATTTACTGCAAAAATTAAAGGAAAAATTCAGGAACTTCAGTTTTTTAAGACTTTAAATGTAACTTGTTGTGATATTATTGCTGTTGTTTGACACATAGATAACATCCTTTATGTTGATGTAAACATGAAGAAATGAAGTGCTTCTTGTAAAGCACCAAATATTAAGCATATAACATGGGTACGAAACATTGTAAAAGTTGGAAACTTTTTTTTTATTAGAACAGCTAATGGCCTGAATGGCTACACATTAGCACACACAGAGCACTTTGCTTTTCAAAAGAGTCCTTAGTGTCTGGACTCTTCTAACCATTACAACAAAGAAAGGTTAATGACCACAAGAAGCTTTGTGGTTTTCTATTCATGGGCAGAAAAATCATGATGTTTATCCATAATAACACATCAATTGTCTTTTGTTGTTTTTCATGTCCTGCAAGACAACTTTACCAGTGGGGCAGGTTGATCCTCCTCATCTGAGTCAGATAAGGCAGAGAGGTCTGTGGCTCCCCAGTCCTCCAGACCCTCACAAATTGCCACAGAGTGAGCAGGAGCAGGCCAACCTGTGCAGGACAGACAGAGCAGAAAGGTGGAAAACTGCACTGGTGCACAATTAAGCCAGAAACAATAAACAAACAATATCTACTTTCATTGTAATGTTAAAGATCAGTTATAATGATCTTTGATGTTAAAAGGCTGTGCAGGGGCTATAGGAAAGAAATGCTTTTTTTTTTTTTTTAAATAGAGGAACTTGCATGAATAGTGCAAATTAACCTTAATATCAAGAGTGGATAATTAGATTCCTACAAGGAGCTAAAAATATTAAATCGTAGTGTACACATAATTCTCTACAATGATGTTGGATATTTTGTAACCTCCAAGAAACAAAATGTGACACAAAACCATGAGCCAAAGTTTTGAGTCAGTCCTGATATATTTAGATTGTTTGTTTTTATATTCTCACAGGTCTCCATTCTTTACATTTCTACAGGCCCCTTGAAATAAATTGGAATGAGATACTTTAGCTACTTTTACACAAAACCCAAAGATGTTCTCACCTTTGAGCTCATCTCTAGAGAAACAACAAACTTCGTAAATTGTACTTCATCCCATACAATGTTAAATCGATTATTAAGTTGATCAGGTCCCGTGTCAGATCTTTGCATGTTTTTTTAAAGACAAAACTTTTAGATACTGTTTATGTGCTGCAGGTAGGCTTGATACTTTTGTGCACTTATACTTTATATACGTTGTCTTGATCAGCACCAGGACCCTTTCTGAATCCAATTGATTTTATTTATTTATTTTTTTTAAACTCAACAGTACTATTATCAATTTTTTGCTTTTTGCTTATTTCATCAAAAGGCATAAAGACCCAGAATTGAAAAATCGTGTGCTCTTTTATTGACCTATTCTCCTGTTCTTCTTGGCGCCACCAATCTCATGACATCTCAATATCACACCACTTCTGACAGCTGGGAAAGTCTGACAGCAACCACCGTCAAAAATCACATTTTTAAAACTGAGACATAAACTAAAATAGAGAGGCTGCTGCCCTGTTCAGATTAACTGCTCAAAGAGCAACTTTTTCCTGAATCTTCTTGCTCTGCCTCACATCACGCCTCGCTGATCAAAGAAAGTGGGCTTTTTTTTTGCAGGCACAGCCCGGTTAAGATAGGTGCTTTGTGGAGGGAGCCTCTAATTGCAAGTTTTACACAGGTAAGGGAGGGGCTGCTGCGCAGACTGCAAAACTGAGGATTAGCCTGAGGCATCAAAAAGCAAAAGACCCCTTTCTCTATGGTTTTGACGAAGAATTAGCATTAGAAATTAGATTTTTTTTATTCTCAGTAACAAATTTTCCTTAATAAAACAAACTTACGGCAGAAGCCTGTTTTATATTGTTTAAGAAGTTTTTCTTCATTTACAAAATAATTAGCATGTTGTTAAAATCAAAATCTGTGCGATATTAATAAAAAGTGGACTGCTGTGACTCACTTCGTCGAGGTGAGTGAACCACAGGCTCTGAATGGGCAGGGCTGGAACGTGTGGAGTCCTCCGCTCTGCAGGTGTGGGAGTGGGTTGTCGCAGAGGAACTGTGAGGAACAGGAAGACACGCTGAGCAGCCTCCCACCGACGCGGCGTCCCACGACACACACATCTCTGACGTGCTAAAAAAACAACAAGGCATGGCCACAGAAACACAAACACAAGCACCACAAACAGGACAGGCAAACAAACGTCCACAGTGTCACAAAACCAAGCTCAAACCTCATCCACATTAACTATGCATTCCACTCTATTCACAATCACATATATTTCAGTGTCTGATTTTAACTGTGTTGTCTCAGTTTACTGAAATATATGGAACTGTTATTTCATTCAAATGATATTCAAAACAACATCAAAATAGGGATTTATTTAACAGCAAGCACAATTTAGCTAAAGTGTAGTTTAACTTGCTTTAAGTAGCTGATGGGTGGATTGGTCCATTTAAGACCGGTGAAAAGAGAAAATGAATTCATCGCATAGGAAATAGGAAACACTAAAAATTCATTTGCGCTCACCCATCACCTACAGAAAGCAGAAACGATGTATGGACAAAGACTTTTTGAAAGTCTCCAATCAATTTGTATGTAAGAATCAAAAAGTCTCACAAGATAAAACCCAATCTAACGGACTATACAGTTTGTAACATGTAGATGTACATGTGCATTAAGCTATAATATAAAATACAACACTTAAAAATGAGAATAAAAAACAATTCATCTATCAGTGCCAAATACCTGTCTTCAAAACCCTCTGTGTCAAAAGTTTTAGCTGTTTTATTGAATAAATTGAATTGAATTAAATCTAGTAAAACTGCTTTTAGTTTTCTCTTTACACCAAAAACTTTCACACACAATTGGTGTCTCATAGTAGGAAGATCCTGGCATAAATAAAGTTTTACTCTTATCTACATGGGTTTTCTGTCATTGCATGGTAAGCCTTAAGAGGTCTTCACATGATGGCTTACTGATATATCGCTTGAAAATGATCACTTCTGGAGCCCTTTTGGTAAAACATAAAACTATAATATCCTGTAAATTTGTTGGGTTTAATCTTTAGTTTTTATGAAATATGTTTAAGTATCTATATTAAAAAAAAAAAGCTCCTTTACCATAAAAGGACACAAGTTATGTTTCTTTGTCATGTGACACAAGACTCACACATTCCCCAAACCCATAACATGCAAGCATGCAAACAACTGTTGTTTGAACACATACAAAACTACAAAACACCCTGTAAAGAACTACAGGTGACTCTGTCTGTTCATAGTCTTTCCAACAAAGTTATAAAACAAAACACTGGACTTTTTTCCCTAAGTTTGAATAAGTTTTGCTTCCCATCCAGGAAGCTTTCTCAATTCAAAATGGCTGGAGTAGGGTTTGAGTTCCAGGCTTATAGAGTGGCACAAACAAAAGCCGTGTTGTGGCTTAGAAAACATGCAAATTGAACTGTAAAAACAGGTCCAACCTTTAGTAATGGGGAGTCATTGAGGTCGTGGTTGGCCTGCAAAAACCCGATACTGGCCCATGCCTCTGAAAAGGAAGTCATTAGGGTCATTGTTATCCTTGCTGACCAGGTGAGAAGTTTTGGTCCCCTGCATGGTCCCCTCAAACCTCATCGCCATGCAGGGGACCAAACATCTCCCCTGGTCAGCCAAGCATTAACAAGGCTTTTGTTTTTGCCACTCTATAAGCCTGGAACTCAAACCTCAGTCCAGAAAATTTAAATTAAGAAAGCTTCCTGGATGGGAAGCGAAACATCTTCAAACTTGGAAAATAAAGTGGTCTGGTGGTTTATTTTCTAACATTTTTAACTTTGTTGAAAGCATTTCCCCGGTAGAGTGGTCAAATATCAAAGCAGAATTATGACTGAAATTCACAGATGACAAAAAGACATGATTGAGAAGAATTAACATTAAAAACTTGTGCTTCCAATCTCAGTCCTAAAATTCACTGAAGTAATATGTTTGTTAGGGTTTCTGTTTGTGGGGAATGTTTTTGTGTTTCTTTTTGGTCTCCATCCATCCACTAGATAGTGCCCTTTCCCCTACTGACCTGGAGGGCCTCTTCCGGTTTTCCACCCACACCTGCGGCTCGTTAGTATGAAGGACCAACTCTGCCATATTTAAAAATAAATACAGAAATAAATAAATGCTCAATAAATGTATAAGCATACAATTAATTGCCAACAAAAAAGTGAGACATAAATGTATATAACTCTTAATTAGCTTCTTTATTTATTTGCCTTTGTAATATTTACCTTATTTATTTTTCTGTCCTTTATAATCTTCAACTTTATTTTTTAATTACTTATATTTTTAAGTATTTATTTATGTGCATGTTATAATATTTTTGTCTGTTTTATTCTTCCTTTGTATTTTTTTACCTTAGTTATTTCTTCGCCGCTGTTTATTTCTCTCTGCCCTTTTTACATTTCTCTCTGCCCTTTTTACATTTCTCTATGCATTTCTGTCTCATTATGCAAATGAGGAGGGGTGTGTCCTAGAGAGTCAACTTCTGCTCATTGGTTGGCTTGGCGGTCCATCTTCTTAACTCACAGAGCTCAGAGTACTAAGTTAAATGTTCTCTTTTCTGTTGCTGTTGTTCAATAAAAGTACGTTTTAAGATCATTTGAGGCGAGAACCTTATACTTTTAAGCATCACCATATGGCCCATTCACAGATTTAATGCGTAATTTAAAAGAAAATGTGACGAACTTGAGAGGACCGTGGCAACCAGGAAAGCTCCGAAGCTGACGGCAGCCAGGTCTAACCACAGCCCATCTGCAGCGGCCCTCTCTCGGCATAACCGTGTGTGAAGCGTGTTGGTTAGCATTTTACTACATCGGTCGAATCTACAGGAGGAGAGTCTGATGTCGAGTCTGAAGTCATTAGAACTTGAGTAGGGACTTTGCCAAACTTTGCCAAATACAACAAAAAATCGCCATCATAGCCTGGCTATAGACCTGGCTGCCCTCAGCTTCGGAGCTCCGCTGGTTGCCACGGTCCTCTCAAGTTCGTCACATTTTTTTTTAAATTACGCATTAAATCTGTGAATGGGCCATATGGTGATGCTTAAAAGTATAAGGTTCTCGCCTCAAATGATCTTAAAACGTACTTTTATTGAACAACAGCAACAGAAAAGAGAACATTTAACTTAGTACTCTGAGCTCTGTGAGTTAAGGAGATGGACCGCCAAGCCAACCAATGAGCAGAAGTTGACTCTCTAGGACACACCCCCTCCTCATTTGCATAATGAGGCATAAATGCATAGAGAAATGTAAAAAGGGCAGAGAGAAATGTAAAAAGGGCAGAGAGAAATAAACAGCGGCGAAGAAATAACTAAGGTAAAAAAATACAAAGGAAGAATAAAACAGACAAAAATATTATAACATGCACATAAATAAATACTTAAAAATATAAGTAATTAAAAAATAAAGTTGAAGATTATAAAGGACAGAAAAATAAATAAGGTAAATATTACAAAGGCAAATAAATAAAGAAGCTAATTAAGAGTTATATACATTTATGTCTCACTTTTTTTTTTGGCAATTAATTGTATGCTTATACATTTAATGAGCATTTATTTATTTCTGTATTTATTTTTAAATATGGCAGAGTTGGTCCTTCATACGTTAGGTCATCACCAGAGGAGTATATGAGCAGCGGACTGTCACCACCTCTTCGCCAGAGTGTCTGCCAGTGTTGGGTGCTCTAGCCTCTCAGAGCTTAGCAGTGTCTAACTTTGAGTTCTCGTCTCTCTGAGTCCTCAGATCTAACCTTTTGTCTCTCTTGTGGTCTTCGGCAGGATTACTTCCTGATCCATTAGATAAGCCTGGTCCTTCAAGCCTTGGAAGGAATCATTCGTCTCTCTGAGATTAAAGAAAAACATTCAACGCTTCTGTTTGCAGTCCACTTCTGGAAAGCTCGTTGACAGTCCGCTCTGCTGCTCCTCTGGACCACTACTAGTCTGCCTGTCCGCTCTCTAACCAAGTATCTCCTTATCTGTACAGTCCCCACTAGCAGGAACCAAGGAGCAACCACCAGTCATCTTCTGTGAGTCCTTTCCTGGCTTTATTTTTGTGTTGACCTGAAATTCCCATGGACCTTGAACTCATCACTCTGATCTTTCCTTGGTGTTTCCGGTTCCGGTTCACCTGACCGCTGGATATTCCTCATGCTGAGAATCCCTTTTGTTTTGTCCCTCTGAGTTCCTCTGTCAGTCTGAGTTTCCATACCTCTCAATAAACTGTTTAACTTTTATCCTGCCTCTGAGTTGTTTCTGCATGTGGGCAAACTTTGAAACCCATCATGACAATGTTGTTATATGATTCAAATGGGTCATATCAGTAGTGAAATAATATGGTATGATATATACAATTACTTCTAAGTCACTGTTTAGTTACAAAATATCTCATGTTATTCAAATCAGTTCACCTGTCAGAGAGGAAGTTGTCTGTGAGCGGCAGAGAAGAAGCCTCATCTGAGGAAAGATGAGGATAAATTGTCTGAGTTAAATCAAAGTGAATCTGAATATATAAATCATACTGAAATGGGAGTAAAGAAGAAAACTGAAGATAGCTAAACAGCTATAGCTCTGCAATATTTTACATGTAGATAAAAAATACCCAAAAAGATGTATTTTCCAAAAAAAAAAAAAAAATAGAAGACGCTTTAACTGAATCAATGAAATGATAGAAACCTTGACATATCTTCTGTGGGTTGGAGAGTATTTTTTGAATCTCGTTCAGCCAGGCAACTTTGACCTCCACGGTAGGAGCCTTGGACAGACAATACATACACAAACTTTTACACTGATATTATATTCAACTGGATATAAAATGAAAGACAAAAAAAACAACAACTAATACCTGAACTATGTATACAACTTCTCTGCCACTGTAGCAGATTTCAAATTTCCTCACATCTCCTTTCACAGTTTCTGTGATCGCCACCGCACTCATCTAGAGAACAAGAGAGATGCTTTTATATTACCATATAACATTATCAGTGAGATTTTCTATCAACATCTCCTTTCATTCTTTCACACATCTTCTTAGTGCATCCACAATTATTAACAAGTGAAAGTGTTTTACTCGGAGGCAGGATTTGAAGCTGTAGAAGATGTCATGGCTGTCCTCCTCTCGTCTCTTGCAGAACAGCAGGGCGTGCTCGTAAAGGAAGAGATGTCGCTGCATGGGTTTAAATCTAGCCAGCTCCTTCATTCGCACCGCTGCCCGTTTGTGGCTGATCCACACGCTGAAGCTCCCCTGGAGTATAATGCGGCCCAGCTGGCTAATATCCCCCTGAAACCCAAGACAGCAGCGCAAAGTAGAACCGTCCTAAGATCAAGAAGAGCATCATTCATATGGGTCTTTTTGCTTGCAAAATAGATTTAAGGTTTTGCTGGTACCGGGTATCCAGTGATGGCTATCTGATGCATGGAGTCGTTGACAGACTTCAGCAGCTCCAACATGGAGTCAAGTGCCTCCTGCAGCTCACAGCGGTACTGGTCCTCCACACAGTGTTTCAAAAGCTCCTGAACAAAGACAGAGGGAAAAAACAGGAGCTTCTACTTAATCTAGTACATTGATTCCCAGAGTTGGGGTCGTGACCCCACTTGGGGTCTTTGGTCAACAAGTATGGGGTCTGGAGATCCCCTAGAAAAAATTTATCAAACAGTAAATATCATGTTAAGGTACTTAAAGATATTAAAGTATCACTTAAAAATGGACAAAACTACTTTGGTTATTGATGCTGTTTCTGATATATTCACCTCAAACAATACTCAATCTGTAAATCAGCAGAATATAATCTTCCTTTCCTTTCATACTGCCCTGCCTGTTAAGAAATGTTTATTAGAGTCTGTGTCTATGGAGGACCAGAAAAGTCAGTGAAAAAGAAAAAGCAGCCATTTCAAATTTAACATTAGAATCATATAATTAGAAATCCAATTTATAATAGCACATTTTAAATAGAATTTTCAAGAGTATTAATTTTTAGTTTTATTTATCAATATATTATTTAATATCGGGAGTTGAAAATGTATTTTGACATCCCATTTCTAAATAAAGAGATTTAAAAACTGCAATTCATAAATCTGATTAGAAATACTATACCATCTCCATTTACCTTTTCGAGTCCCCTATGCTCCCTAAACCACTGAAAACCAGTTTAACTCTTTCACTGGTTAGAGTGCCACAATAGGTACACAAAATGACCAATGAGGAAGTTTATTTGAGGGTGTATGCATGTGAATAAAATCTAATGTATAAAAAAGCCAAGAAAAAAAGCAAAGAACCGTTAGGAGTCCAGAAATAAAGACCTGAATGATAAGAAATGGTCTTTGAGAAACTACCAATTTTAAACTAAAGAAACGCTATATCAGAATGGGCCCCGTTTCTGTTTTTTTGAAGAAGAATTTACTGATTTTTCATCCATTTGGGCTCAATAAATAGCTACTATGCAGCCTTAACGCAATCTGTAAAGTATTCCTGCGTCATAATTTTTTTACATATTAAAGGTATAGTGAAGGATTTTCGCGTATTATTAAAAAGATCCACCCTCTCCACTTAAAAAGAAGTACATTTCACAACCCTGTAACCGCTCCCGAAAGGGAACACCTATTAAATGCGTGAGACAGCATGCATGAGCCCATTTCTCCTCGCGCACGCTCTGTTTAAAAGTTGCTGTTTGCGTCACTCATACAAGCATTTCACATTTTCCTGCAATTTGTGATGTGAAAATCTATTTTTTTCAATGCAATCATGCATCAAAATAGTTAAACCCCATAGGATTTTCTGTCACAGTAGCTAGTTAAACATATTTACATAAAAACAATCATAATATTTAATCATCAGGCTCATAGGTTGTCATAGGTATTATGCGATGCTGGATACATTAAAGTAGTATATGGAAAAAAAAATGTTGCATGAAATGCCATCAAAGGGAACCTGTTTGTTTTATAAGAGTAACATTTAATTTGTCAAATCTGAATACAAATGAGATAAGAATTGTGAACCTAGATCCACTATTTTAAAAATCTCCCGCTCTTTGCATTAACAGAGCATAAATATTGTTGGATAAAACCTCTCATACCCCCACCATGGACTGTTCTCCCTGCTGCCCTCTTAGAAGAGGCTTTGCAGCATCTGCTGCAGGTCCAGAAGGTTCTGCAACAGCTTTTTCCCCGCTGCCATTAGACTACTGAACGGTTGAAGTCTATACTGGACTTTGCATCAAACAACATTATTTCAAATAAAAAATGTAAGAAAAATGTGTATCTTATCATTTTATTTCACATTACAAGCATTTGGCCAAGGAATTTTAAGTATTGTTCTAAATGAGGAGAGCAAATATTTCTCTCAGGGCTTGGTATTATTCAGCTATGCAGCCATAGGTGACTGATAACTTCATCAGACCCCTCCTGGTAATGTTTGACCACTCCTGTAATTCCTTTGAAGTCCAATAATAAAAGCAGCAGAAAATAGAGGTTTGGGCAGAGTTGAGTACAGACTTTTCAAGGGGTCTCACCCTTGGTCTGTCCTCTCTCTCACTTTTCTGCAGAAAAGAAACGAATGCTTGCTCTGTTTGGTTTTTATTTCTGGGACCATAAGTGGTTATGATTATTAACCCCATCAAAAAACGTGGCAGAAACTTTCATAATTCTTTTTTATCCATATTTATTTTGCACTGCACTAAACCTATCCATATTAATGTCATTTTGCACCATTTTTTTAAAACTGTTTTCTTTTCTCCTATACTGTTTACATGATGATCACTGCTGCACATTAAAATTGTTATGTTCTTTTCACTGTTGTAAGCTGTAAACCATGCAATTTTGTTTTGTATACACTCTGTGTATACAAAATGACATTAACATTTGTCTAAGTTTAACCCTATAATGCCAAATGTATCATATTTGATGTATACGGTTTCTGAAATGTTTTGCGTCTGACACCTTTTGCATAATTTAATGGTAAAAACTTTGCTCAAAATCCTATTGTACACAATGAGATATACCTGATAACAGAGGGCAGAAGACTACACAAAAAATAATCTTGACTTATCGCATAGTAATAAATTATTAATATTAAAAATGTATTTCTGTTTTTTCTTTTTACATATTTTGTTAAAATGCCAAATAAGGACTTCAAACCAAAAAAAAGTAATTTTCTGTTTTGTTTTATTCTTGGATCGGGCTTTAAAGGGTTAAAATAAAATACATAAAAATGTTAAAAGCCCCTGTGGGGTAAAGAGCTCACTGACACTAGAAATAGCTTGCTTTAATATCTCTACTTAAGATGTAACTGGTCCAGATCACTTTCAGGATAACAGTCAACAGTTGATTTGTGTCTCCATTTTGAATTTTGGCGATCATTAAAATATAACCTTATTTGTTCTTGTTCATAGAAAACATTCATTTAAAAATTGCATCATTGTTACTAAGCTGATACAAAGTCCATAACATGTAGCTGCAATCTGCCATAAAAAGGACTTTCTTTACATTTATCATCAGAACCCTCAACAACACAGTGTAACAGATGTACTGTCTAACCCATGTGAAAGACATTTCTGCAGGACTCCCAGACCTTAAGCAGCAGCTGGTACTTAGTTAGGCGTTGGATCGGTTTCAGAAGATATGAATCCAGGCCCAACTTATGGTCCAGTTTCTTCTGGCACTCCTATAGGTGGTTATACCAATAAAAAAATTAGGCATAGTTTTGTGGAAAAAAAAAAAAAAGAAGTAGAGACGTTTATTAGATATGGTGTATTTAACTACCTGGAAAAAGGGCGAATCAGAACACTGTCTCCAAAGTAGCTCAGAGCAGGGCTTGTTATGGCAGTAACGCTCGTACACCTGAAATTTGTCTTTCTACTCAAACACACATAAAGCTCTACTTAGCATATGCTTCTTATCATTGATTTGAACGCAGTCCTCATATACATGTTCCTGTTAACTCACCCGCTGCAGAAAGCAGGCCCCCACCCTCTCTGGGTTCTCCAGGCAACCCTGGAGATCTCGGAGGAAGATCCTAAACAAAGAAAACAAGACAAGAAACAAAAGCTTGATGAGAACAAAAAGACAGGAAAGGGAGGAGAATTCCTGAGGAGCTGGTTAGCTCTGGGTGCATGGACGCTTGCCTGCTGTGGAACTGGTAGATCTCAGGCATGTTGCCGAACAGAACGTCTTTCTGGCTTCGCAGCTCCGGGGGAATAAGATAAGACATGGAGGGGTCCTCCATTTCTGCCCTGTAACCCTAATATGTCAGACACAAAGATCAGGCCAAGCAAATGAAAAAAATCTAGATTTCTTCTTTGAAATGCTTTTGCTAAATAATCCAAAACTCACCAGAAGAACAGAGAGCAGCTCATCCACGTAGATCCTCTCTGTAGCTATCAGTTCCTTCATAACGTGCCTAAAACAGTATTAATTATCATAAATTATTACTATAGAAGTCCCACCAAATGTTTTTGATTATTTTTGAAGGCCTCTTAGAATATACTCTGAGATGTCAGAGGTTTCTTACCTTGTGACCTGTTCTGGATTATCTTCTGCCTCTGAATCGGTTTCAGAGTTGGGACCATACAGGCAGCTGCGGTTACCTTGGTAGTCATGCATCACCTCAATCTGACAAAACAGGCCAGAAATCTGTCAGTTCAAAATAAAGCATCTGAGCTGCAGTGTGTCTTAACACTTATAGGCACCCAGTTAAGACTGGAAAAGAGCTATTTATTTACTTATTTTATAAAGTGAAAAAAAAAAATACTTTTCTGTTTTAGGTTTGAGAATAAAAAGACAACTGACAGATTCTAGCAATTGAGTTTTGGTTCATTATAACAACCCATGCGGAAATTGATTTGCAGCACTTATAAAGAAAGAACACAACCACACAACAGTCGCTCGCTTAGTGTAATACTTTACATTACAACGGTCTGTGTATATTCAAGCAGTTTGCTTTTTGGTTTGAAACCAGACATGAAAAAAAAAAGAAAACACTCTAGTGTTTACGTTTTCTGTTTATTAAACTAAAATGAGAAAACGAATAACAAGGCATTATCAATTTGTTTTTGCACAAACTAAAGCTGGAAAAAAACATAAGCTTTAGTTTGTTTTTTTTTTGTTTTTTTTCCCATGAGACAAATTAAACTTCTCTTACCCAAGAAAAACTAAAGGGACAAAAATAATTTTCCACAAGAGAGCCTTATGTTTATTATTATAAACAGTTAACTTAGAGACCAGAAGATGTAGAAGCTATGTTTTTGTCTGTGATTGATTATGGAGATACATTGTACATGCATGCTGCATCCTCCATCTTGCGTCATATTGACTCAGTGTACCATGCATCATTACGATTCATTACAAATTCTAAGTCCCTTACTCATCACTGCATTCTTTAAGATCTTGTTGGTTGGACATCACTAACAATTGGTAGAAAACAGCACTGGTATATCTTTATCTATAAAGCAATACTTGGTAAACTCCCACTGTACCTCTGCAACCTCCTCTCTGTGAGTTCCGGTAGTTATCAGTTGCGCTCCTCTCAGTGGTTACTTTTTAATGTACCCCGAGCTTCAACTGAGTTGGGAAAAACTGCATTCTCCTACCCTGCACCTTGGGGATGGAATAACCTCCAGAAAGAGCTCAAATTAGAAACTCTCGTGTCCATTAATGAATTTAAAGCAACCATGAAGAATGTAGTGATGGAGATATGTGCTTGTTTTTTCTTGAGATGCTCAATGTGTTTTAACATACTGCTCTGATTTTATTATGAAAAATGTAATATGTTGTAAATATGTATGAACTTCCTGTGGTTTGGCTGCTATCTTGGCCAGGTCTCTCTTGAAAATAAAAAATAAATATAGCAATCGACTATTGAGAGGTGCCTCCTTTTTTCCCCAGCCAACTACATTCTCATTCATCCCAGTTCAATCCTCTAACTGTAAAAATTTTTCATGCTGGATGGATATGAATCACTGAGATTTTGCATCCGATGACAGCAGTGATGCTATGGAGATCAGGTTGAAGGGGTTTACTTTGCATTTCAGCAAACTGACAATCAGCATGATTAGACCCTCAAAATTTGGAATTTTCTGTGTATTAAATCCTCATACAAAATAAAAGGGTTTCCTGTGAGTAACAATGAAGTTTTGGACTTTGTACAACACGTGTTGTATGAGGGGGAAGAGAAGTCCTGAGTCAGGCTACTTGCCAAATATGATGACAGAAAGTGAGCCCTGAAGCACTCGTTATTTATTTGAGGGATTTTTTCCATTTTTTGTTTTCTGCAACAACAACAAAAAAAAAACTGAAATCAGGAAGTGTTTTGTTATCAGTTTTTTTTTTTAGATTTAATAAAAAAAAAAAAAAAAAATGGTGTGTTTCTTTCTTTTTTGCTGATGAAGATTCTCAGTCATCCAGGTCATAGTCTTTCCGTAAAAGCTCAAAAAATCCACTGGACTTGGTTTCCAAAGTTTGAAGACGTTTTGCCACCTCTCCAGGAAGCTTTCTCAATTCAAATGTCTGGATCCACAGTGAGTTGAGTCTTTATAGAGACAAGGCCTTGTATTGCTTGGAAACATGCAATTAAAAACCAATGAGTGGGTCGTTTGGTTCCATTGTTAGCCTTTAAAATCTGAAACCAGGTTTCAACTCAACTCACTGCGGATCCAGACGTTTGAACTGAGAAAGCTTCCTGGAGAGGTGGCGAAACGTCTTCAAACTTTGGAAACCAAATCCAGTGGATTTTTTGAACTATTACGGAATCTTTCTTTTTTGGTTTCAAATAAAAAAAAAAAAACTGCCTAAATATACAGAGACCTACAACTTCCAAGTTAAAGAAATATACATTAATGCTATTAATGCAGCATAGCAGATGGTAACTAAAAGCATTGCACATAGTGTATTTAGAATACATAATCCTCTCACAATAACAGGAATATCAAAGAGATCATCAAACCAATAGTTTAAGACAGGTGATCTAGTCTGGACAGTGATTCAGGCCAGCAGGTTAAGCTCAGTAAAGTGTCAGCAGGAATGAAGAATAACCTGGTCTGCTATGTTATGACTTGAGGCTGCACCTACATCGAAGGAGGTCAATTCACTAAGAACTGGATGTTTAGGACACCTGAAGATACAATCGACCTGACTTCTTACTCGCTTATAGTATATATGTTGGAGCTTGGCTTCCTGCGCTCCTTCACCTTGCTCGCCTGAGGAGCCTCATCATCCTTTTGTCACGAGACAAGGAAAGAATAGCAAACAAAGCCACAATCCCATAAGAGAGAACAGATGTAATCAAATACTGACAGAAAAAAGGTTACAAACTTTAAAAGCACTACAATGTCTTGCAAAGAATAGGTTCTCTTGGGTCATCTTTTACTCTGAATTAACTCAGCTGTTAGTTAATTAATACAATACCCAATAGAACACAATGACATCAATCATTGATCAATTCTAAAGAGAAAAATAAATTATAGCTTCAGTGTTTTGTGGAAATCTCTTAGGGTTACCAATTACTGTGATGCTAGTAATTTTATTTATAATTTAGTAATTTAGTAAACAATAAAAACATATTTATAACAGAATAAACATGTGTTTTTCAAAAAATCATGTGTAAAACTATGCTCCAGCAGTTTCTTTTCTTCAGAGTTTTATTAATGGAAATCTACTAGAATATTGCAGAAAACATAAAGTAAATTATTGACCTATTTCTGAATTAATATATTTAGAAGCCTTTAGTTAAAAAGTAAAAAAAATAAATGTGATGTGAATGATATATAGTTTATGAACACACATATACCTTGCGTGGGCTGTTGTTTCTCCTAGCAGCTCTTTTGCCAGGAAGCAGATCAAATGAGAATTTTGAGTTTAAAACGTTGAAGTCGACACCTGTAGGAAAGATAAACAAAGAGGGATTTATGGCCAAATGATCCCGGATCATATGGAAACATCTGCATTAAAACAGGGAGGAAAGGGGGCATTATACAGAACTCTAAAAATACTGATAACATACAATAAAATCTCTCAGCAGCTCAATATTTGAATGTGTAGCTGACATTATGATCTGTACCGTGTTTTGGTGAGAAGAGAGGTGACTTGCAGCGGAGTACGGTCTGATCCGGTTCAGGCCGAGGCGCCACCAGCTGTATGGGTCGAACCTGGACATCTGCCAGCTTCTTCAGACACTGCTCTCTGTTTCTAATCATGCACTGAACCGAGCTCAGCTTGTCCTTCACCATAGTGATCTGGGACTGTGAAGAGAGCAAAAAGTGTGAAATCTCTTAGCTGGTGAGACAAGTTACTGACAGAAGAACAGCTACCTTCAGCTGTGGTGTGAGTACAGCTTCAAACTCCAGGCTCACGGTGTCTTGACTGTTTTTTAGAACAGATGGCGCCCTCTCCTGGTGGCTGCTCAGGTACTGCAGCGCTATCTGAGCTCCCTCTTTGGTTTGGAACTTGTCCACCATCTGACTGGCGAGCAGATAAGCCCCCTCATCACACCAACGAAGAGCCTACTCAGAACAAAAAACAAACAAATACAAACTTCCCTTTAATTAACAAAGACATTTTCTCAAATTTTAAACATGAAGGAATAAACAGCAGATATCAGGTTAGTGATTTATTTCTTTTTACCTCCTCAAGGCGCACCAGCAGGTCTCTTGTACGGGTCAGCGAAGCTCGCTTGGTGCGTATGGCAGTGCTGATGACATCACAGAGATGTCGCAGCTCGTTGCAGCGCTGGACGATGAGTGCCAGAGCGTAGTGGTGGTTAGCAGCCAACTGGTGACCATGCAAAATCACAACCTGGGCACGAGTCATCTCTTCCTGAGGTACAAAAACACATGAATGTTTAACTCCCTAAGTCAGAACTGGATATATATCATACGCTTTATCGACATTTTCTAATGTTTCTGCAGACTAATGCATCGTGTAATATCCTTTAGGCAACGTCACCCTTGGTACACTGTGAAAAGATGTTCAAAGTAGAACTCAGATTGTTAGGGCAACAAACTTGAAAGTGTAAGATTTTTGTCAATCATTTAAGTTTTGCCAAACTTTGAATTATTTGTTATAAATCCATCCATTTTCTGTCACGCTTTATCCCAGGTGGGGTCACGAGAGGTGCTGGTGCCTATCTCTAGCCGTCAACGGGGGCTAAAGGCGGGGTACACCCTGGACAGGTCGCCAGTCCATCGCAGGGCAACACAGAGGCAAACAGGACAAACAACCATTCACACACACACTCACAGAGGAGAATTTAGAGAAGCCAATTAACCTAACAGTTATGTTTTTGGTCTGTGGGAGGAAGCCGGAGTACCCGGAGAGAACCCACGCATGCACAGGGAGAACATGCAAACTCCAAGCAGAAAGACCTCGAGCTGGGAATCAAACCCAAAACCTTCTTGCTGCAAGGCAGCAGTACTACCCACTGTGCGGCCCATTATTTTGTTATTGCATCTAGAAATAATGTTTTTTTCTAGCTTATGTGAAAGTAGTGGTGACTTATAAAAGGCAGTGACAAACTACAAATCTTAAAACTCTTAAAGGGAGTTTTTCCTCTCCACTGTCACTACAAGCATGCTTAGTGTGAGGGATTGTATTTGAGTCAATGAGTCAATGCAATCAACTGGTTTTCCTTAGATAGAAAACTTTGAATCAATTTGACTGTATGATCTGGTTGAACTGTAAAGTGCCTTGAGATGACATGTGTTGTGAATTTGGCGCTATATAAATAAACTGAATTGAATTGAATTACATAAGAATCATACTTTTTATTTAGACCTTTTTGTCCCTTAAAGGGGAAATTGAATTTACATTTTTACCAAACCCTTTTTTTTTTGTTTCAGGGACCGTAAGAGTCGGAGTTTTGAACCTCCAACCTTAACAGCTCCTCCTAGAAGCTTAATTAAACGCTAAATTTAAAAAAGAATTTCATAAAATGCTTTCTCTCATTATACAGAACAATCAATGTTATTTAATTGGCAGCATTTCTTTAGCAGCACTGTATTGTTAAAAGTCAACATTAAAAGAACTAACTAAGTAACTAAAATGCTAAACTCAATAGTTGGTTTTCTCACATTTCACATCAAAAACACATACATTTGCTGAAATAACTTATAAAGGTGTAAAGTAGGGCTGCAACTAACTATTATTTTGCAAATCGAATAATCCGTCAGTTATTTTTTAGATAAATCGATTAATAATCGGATAGGATAAAGGTTTCTTAAAGATGATTTTTTTTTTTTACAAAAGAAAACCAGGTCAAACTAAAACTATTCTACTTAAGGATTTCTGGATGGAGCATATTGACAGATGAAAAAAATTTTTAATGTTAAATGCAAAATGTTTATGTATTTTTTTTTTTTTTTTTTACAATTTTGATATTATTATTAATCCAAGTGGGTCGCTCTGTCAGCTAAAGACATGTTTTAGAGTCTCGACACTCCAGTTTACGATTAATCGATTTCTAAATTAGTTGACGATTATTTTAATAATCAATTAATAATGATTAATCCGATCAATTGTTTCAGGCAACTCTCTTTCTAATGTTAAAGATACTCTGAAAAGACTCACGGTGTTGTCTTTATATTCAACACTTATTTTTTCAGGTTTTTTAGCTCAAAAAAAGACATGTTACAACAGTGCAAACGTTACCTCTGAGTCAACTGACGTATTTGTTACTTGAAAAACTCACCAGCCTTGAAAAACAGAAAGTTAAGCTGTTTAAATCTACACACTTCTAAGATTTAGCACTGTTACTATAAATCATATGTGTAAAATTCACAACCTGCAGGAAAAATGCAGCCCATCAGAGCAATCTATCCTCAAAACCCAAAAAAAGTACATCAGGCCATAAAAAGGAGGCATGTGTAATATTGAGATACAGTGCAACATTGTGGTGAGGTGCATCTATTTGTGTTTCGTGACCTGGGCACGTTTATCCAGACTGTCCAGGTCTTTAAGTAGCTGCTCTGTTTGAACAACGGTAGTTCCCACAGAGGCGATTTCCTTCTCCTGGGCAGAGAGCCGCTCCAGCACCTCATCCATCTATGTTCAAACAGACAAAGCACAGAAGTCTAAATCGAGAGGCTGAGGTTAAATTTACTTTTATGGCAGGAGAAGCACAACACCAGTTGTCCCACCTGATGGAAGCTGCTTTCATAATGCAGCATTTGGAGGTATTGCTGCAGCTTCAGGTGATGTTTTTCAAAGAAACCATCAAATGCCTCCTCCATGTCTCTAAGCTGTGCCAGGAGCCTAGAACACACACAAACAGACTGTCCTTGGATGATGAAGGACGTGCAGCCTCTTAGCCCTTCTCACATGAATCCCACCTATGAACAGTCTCCATGTCGGCTTGTATTTCCCTCTCCTCAGCAACGTCTCTTTTAGCAGCTTTAAGCGTTTCAAGGTTTGACAGCAGCAGCCGTCCTTCTTTCAGCACCCCCCGGATATCATCCTGTAAAAAAATAGGCAGCAAAGCCATTCAAATTTAGGGACATTTTAGTAAAAAACAAAGGAAAACAAAATCTTGAGTCAACAATCATTTGTATAATATTTTTAAAAAAGTGAAAAAGATAGTGAGAGAGTGAGGATGTGCTACCTTCATCTGTCTGTATCGATGTGTGTGGGAGTGAAGCAGGAACTCAATGGCATTAGCTTCATCTGGGAGTTCGGTCTCTGACAGCTCAGAGCCAAATCCCTGCAGCTGCTGGGCGATCTCCTTCACTGTCACCGCAAAGGTCTCAATGGACTGAAAACAAGCACAAACTTTCACCCAAACAGATTTGAAAATATAAAAAAACCTGACTCGATGCGGCAGATTAACATCAATTAGGGGTTTACCGATCGTAGAAGGACCCAGTCACTCTGACAATATTCCACCTTTGCAGTAAAATCTGACGCCAGGTGGTTTTCATCGATATAACGCAGCAGGTCACCAACCGAGCGCAGCATCACCACCTGCAGGACGCCGAGCAAAAATAGATCCAGTTAGATAAGCTGAGTAACATTTACAGTCTGGAGATTTAATCCTTATATGAAGCAGACGTTAGATGCAAAGACACATGTACAGGTTCTTTGAAAGTCTCTTACTGGCATCTTTAGCAGGAAGTCATCCTGACTGAAGCGAAAGCCCAGATCTGTGCTGGAGGAGGGACTGGGCGTGGAGCTTAACAAGCCGGTGGGGCGAAGCACCAAGACCAAGTGCAGGTTGCCAGGAAAAGAGGTCTGAAAGAAAGTCACCGGTATTCGCTTATTTCTTTCATCAACTCCTCAACTCTTTCCAAAACCATTCTACAGTAAAATTTACTATACATTTTAGATACTGCACCCTAAAAGACAAACTTTGTTAAAAAACTGTTAAGAGTTTTCTCTCCTGGTTCTTCACTCATTTATAACACCTGAGCAAAGCGTATTGTCCCAAATGTTGACATGATATCAGTTAATGATATCAGAGTATGATGGGGCATGGACAAAAGTTTGATTTCAGAAGCAAACATTTTCTAATATAACTAACTTCAGCGTGTTTGACCATCCAATCACAGACCTGATTCAGTGGCATATCAGATGTTTGTAAAGTGAGCTTCTCAGGCATTTGCAAAAGAAAAGATGGTGGGCCAATAAGGAGCTTGTGGCCGATCTAAACTCAGGGAAACGGGCCTGATCTGCAGTTTTCCGCTTGGTCCTAGTGCTTGACAAATGTAGCGTACCATAGAGTAAAATTGTTTTTGGACAGTAAAACGCGCAGGGGACCAAAATGGATATTTGAAAAACTGCAGGAGACATGTCCCAATACTGTGAGCATATCTTGATAGCTTTTTTGCTAAAAAACTTGATTAACTTAAAGGGGAACGCAGGTTTTTTTTTACATTGGGCCCTTTATTTTACGTTATTACATCATGTTCTACTCACCCATATGAGTTTTGTGTCATTTGGAGCTGTTCTGAAGATATTCCGTTAGGTTATATCCAAGTAACGTCTTCCTATGGGCAACGACTTGGAGGCACAAACGAAACTTTTCGTAATTTATCATTTATTGTACACCAGCATTCATAACATATAGGCGAATCACTGTCCCCCAGACATCCATGGTTATATTTTTTATATTTATATGTTTTAAATACAAAGCGGCGCGTGTATGACGTCATCCGCGCGCGCCGGCTACTGTTCCTTCTTAGCTTAGTTTTACTCACATGCCTGGAAGATGTCTAGTGCTACCATAACAGATGATCACGCTCTCCAAATGGAATTAAACGATTCAGATTAGCTCGCCGAATGAATAGAAGGGGTAGAGTGTAGCCACCTGTGGCCCGGGCTGCCTGTCACAACTCTAGTCCAGCGAGCGGATGATGTCATACACGCCTACATGTTATGAATGCTGACGTACCATAAAGAATAAATTATGAACACTTTAGTTTGTGCCTTCAAGCCGTTGCCCATAGGAAGACGTTACTTCGATATAACGAAGTATCGTTATAACGGAATATCTTCAGAGCAGCTCCAAATGACACAAAACTAATATGGGTGAGTAGAACACGATGTAATAAGGTAAAATCAAAGACCCAATGTTAAAAAAAACGGCATTCCCCATTAACAGATCCTGCACGAAAGCTGGAAAAGTTGTCATTAAAAAACCATTAAAGTAAATTATGATATTTAACTTACATTTTTCTGAAACATATATCATATTTCTAGTTGCCTTATAGTATTGATATCTCCGTTTTTGCTATTCACTGCAGCTCTTAACTCAACCACACAGAAGCTTTATTTTTTTACCCATTGAACCGTCTTTGGTCCCCATTCAGATATGACTCATTATGCCTTTGTGTTCCCCTTTTTTTTATATTACCTTCCATTAACGTGATAAAATATGTGAAATATTTCCAGTTTTTGTTTTGATCTAAAAGAAACTAAAATTCTTATTTTTGGAAAATAGGATTAAATGAATCACCCTTAAAATTCAGACAAACACTGAAAATAAAAAAATAAAACAGGTAGAGTGGGATAATTAAGACCAAAGCTGTGATCCAAACTATATATATATATATATATATATATATATATATATATATATATATATATATATATATATATATATATATATATATATATATATTTTTTTTTTTTTTTTTTTTTTTTTTTTGTTGCATTAATGCTGAAAATGATGTTTTGTGAGGGGAATAATTCTACTAAATGGTCTTTCTGTCCTGCAAGTTTTTTGTTTTACATTGATTATTAATTAGTTGCAGGGCATCTATGTCTGCTCAAATTTCTGGTCAGGCATCCAGTGTATAATCTAAACATAAAGAAAGCAAACGTAATCTTGTAAAAAATAAATAATAAAAAGATAACTTATTCCAAGTATTATAGACTACAAATATTGTTGTTTCAGCTACAACAAGCATATTTTGTGACTCATTCTTCTCCCTCTGGCAGTCAGAAGACAGAGGAAAGGAGTTAGACTGCTAACTCAGATAAAGAGTGCGTAGCTCAACACAGTATCAGCAGCCTTCAGTGTCAGTCTGGCATATCTTTTCGCTTCTGTAGCATTTCAGCAGCTCTAAAAACAAGCTCTTCTTAATCACATTCCTGTTTAGTAAAACATCTCCCTTCAGCCTCAGCTGTCAGCTCAAGCTTCAAACAAGGAGTCAAATGTCCTTTACAGTATTAAACTGCAAATTGCATATATAATATCTGTCTAACTGGCAGTAAAATATCAGTCAGAAAACTTTAAGATATGTTGAAAGGTTGTTCCAATACTTGGACAATAACAGTGTATACTATTAGAAAATGTATTTAAAATGCAACATAAATTGTTTTTTTTTCTGCTTTTACTGTACCCCTACAGTAAATATATATATTTACATTTTTAGCTGTTTAATTCAAACACTATATCTGTATTTTTTATTGCAGTAATGTTAATGTATTTTACATTACAGCAGCTAGAAGAGTCTTTACTGTTTTCAGAAAGGCACAAATAAAAGCAGAGTGTAAACAAAAAGAAGTCTAGAATACTAAAAATGTTTCACATATAATCAGCACACAAACATTAAGAGTAACAATTCAAGAGAAAACTTCAACTTAGAACATTAGTTATAAGCATCCTGGACTTCTAAGGGTTTGCAGTGCATACTTTCTCCTTTCAAAACAACATTTCAACTTGTTCCGGTTAAAACGTTGTCTTGTTTTCTTATGGAATTTAAGAGAAACCCGCATCTTGATTAAAAATAACTAGCTCTGCTTGGTATTGTAGGGATCATGGTTAGCTACTTTAAGCAGACACTTTTAACAGATATATAAACAGCCCCACTCCCATAGACTACCACTCTGGCTCCCTGAACAAAGACCCTTAACCCCACACTGCTCCCCGGGTGCCTCACAAATGGCAGCTCACTGCTCTTAGAGGTGATGGGTTAAATGCAGAGAGTTCATTTCGTTGCTCTGTACTTGTGACAGCGTAATTATAATACTGTACATTTTTTTGTTGTTTGTTTAAAGCTGGAAAGCTTAATGAGTTGTGTTGAATTTCAAATGGCTTTATCTCTGTTATTTTATGGTATTATTCTGCTGTGAAATGTTCTACAACTTTATTCCTGACCCTTCTGTTCTTTGTTTTTTTAGCTGCTGTTTCTCACTAATGTTCACTTATAAAATCCTCTGAACCTGTATTGATGCTGACACAAACTAGTACTCCATTTACCAATTAGTTAACCTCAAATGACAATTTGCACATAATTCTATTTAGATGTTTGACAAAGAAGGGGTCTGAATATATACGTAAATGCCACACTTTTCAGATTTGAATGTTCATTAATGTTCATGTTTTAAGGGTCTGCAAACTGCAACTGTGGAGACTGTATACAACTTGTACAATGGCTCTAAATAATGGTTTAAATGATATAGAGAACCAACTGGTGTGGTGACATAGTTCTTACAAGCTTTGTTGTTTTGTTTTTAAACAACAATGCTTAAAAAAAACACAGAAATGTGTTTTTAGATCTACTTTTCTTTTCAATAACTTAAAAATAAGTTGTTTTTTTTGTACATTAAATACTATCCTATAGAAGAAAACCATGCTTAATCTGTATTAAACTTTTCATGCTTTTCCTTATTTTAAAAGCTAAAAATTAAACATTTGTTGTTTGTTTAAAACAGCAACTGATTTCCTCTCTCAGATATTAAAAAAATAAATAATCATTAGCATTTTATGAGGAGGTTATTTAATATTGGCAGCTCTAAACAACTTTGGCTTAGCCTTACTCAGGGCGAAATGGCTCTTTTGATTTTAAAGCTTGAGAAATGATGTTATAGTCTAAGCAAAACATAGAAAGATAGATTTTAGTTTTGCAACCGAAACCTGTAGGCCAAATACATTAAACCTAGAACTGTTTAAATTTTAAATTTTCTTGCATAGCAGCCATGATGATGTAACCAAAAACTTAAAAGAACATCAACATTAAACGGTTTTCAAACCATATATGCATTAATGACACTTATTTAATTAGTAATACATAAGATACATTAGATAAACAGCAACATTATCTATTTACTCTTCATTCTCTCATTAAGCTTGTTGTTCTAAACCTTCAGATCTCTCCCCTTTTGTCATTGTCCTGTCCTAAACCAAACAGACTTATTGACATTGAACTGCGCTCTGCAGCTTCTGGGCGTGTTAAATATGTGTAACATCTACATCACACCCTGTGTGTCGCAGTATAGACCAGTTATTATCTCTCCTCGCTGCAGCAGCTATCCACTCCCCACCTCCCGGTCTGTCTTACCGCGGCCCGGCGCAGGCGGGGGAACCCCCACCGCATATTGGATTCGGCCATGACTCCCGGTTCCGTCCGGGCCCGCAGCGGCTGCAGACGGACCCTGTGTCTGGAGCTCTCCGCTCCGCCGCAGTAACGGGCCGGTAGGTTACCTTCACTGCAGTGTACGTGGGGCGGAGAGGCGCGCGCCCAGCCAGCAGACGCCCTATGCTGCACCGGGACGCGCTGTGCTGCACTCACCTGACGTCAAAACTAAAAGCAGCAATGTTGGTAGTCAGCAGGCAATGCCCTAACTGCTATTACTGCTGACACTGGGCTGAATTCACTGAAAAGGTGCTCTTATTTTGATAAGAAAAATACCGCACCCTATTATAATTATAATAATAAAGAAATAAAAAAGTAAAAAACACACTTTTCCATTACTTCTACTTGTTTTCCTACAGTGTAAACATAGCTAAAAGCAGCAACTCTTAAAATAAATCATATAAACAAGCAAAAAAAAATAAAAAATAATCTATAGAAATTATGAAACATTTCTAATAGAATCCGCTAGATGGCAGTACATACACAGTCTGAATGGAATCTAATCAGTGATCTAGTCCTTAGGTGTTAGATTATAGCTCATCAAATTATCAAAATCCAATAAAAAAAGTAGTTATTATTTGTAAAGGTTTAATTGCTGTTACACTGCTTTTAAAATGCAAATTCATTCATTGTAGATAATTCCAAAAAGAAAGAAAGAAAGAAAATGAAAAACAATCCACTGGACTTTGTTTCTGTTTGTTGTCTTCATACTTGGAAACAAAGTGATTTAATTTTCTTTTCTTTTTTTTTTTTTTCTTTTTTTTGAATGACTATGAACTGGATGACTGAGAATCTACCAGTGTATTGTAGGTAATGGTATACAGTACATGGGGAGTAGATGAAGATACAGTATTGAATCTTGTGTAAGATTTCAAAGCATTTCAGACCCTCCAGTAGGACAATGACACACAAACAGAGGAAGGCATTGGCGTGCACCGACTTTTGAAGGGCAGGGGCAGAAAGGAAGAAAAGGGGCACATATAGCCTGTCCTCGCCACTATAGAGAGCACTTCAGTGCACTTTTGTACCTTAATTGAAAGCTAAAATGGAATGGTACATTTAAAAAAAATACTAATGCTAATGGCTGGTTTACTTAAGGTTTAGACTGGAACTATTTGAAAATGAGAGTCAAAAAGCACTGTCTGGACAATATGACTAAGCTATACCATTTGTAAAAGGCTAAAATGCCAGTCTTAAAAAGAAGAAGAAAAAAAACTTTGCAGGACATTAACACTTTATAAAAACAAATATTTTGATTTAGATGAACTGAATGCATGGCAAACTTTTTAAATTTTAAATTGCAGAAAATGTTAAAACTTGTATGCTTCAACATATATATTTTGAGAAAGCCCGCTGATGTTTATATTGGTAAAACCGGACAAAACAGCAAAATGAAACAAAGGTGTAAACTTCTTTGTACAGTACCATAGATGGTTAGCTTAATTCTTAATTGGTCTCATAGTGTTTGAGATTAAACGAAGGGCATAATTAACCGATCACTTTTAGCTCAATATCAAATATGTGAACGTCCTTGGATCATTCCGTTCTTTACATCCAGCTTTACTTTTCATGATGGCATTGAGATTTTTCCTAATAAAACCCCTTAGTTTCTAAACAAACAACATTTCAAGTATCCTACTCATTTTTCAATGCTAGCCTGTCCTATGTGTATTTCTTTATCTGCGGGGCTTTAAAGTGGAAAAAACAAAACAGATGCTATCTGACTATTGGCTCTGTAGAGAGGCAGTGTTGAACAAGGCAGCTTACCCTGACGTTTCTGTCAAGGCTCCTGCATCCATGCTGTAACGTGACTGGAAGCCGTTAATCTGCCTGCATCAGACAGACTTAATTACAGGGAATCCCCACATTGCCCCACAGAAGACCCCAAAGTTTTTTCCGACTTACTTTGTACTTTTTCTTAAAGTTTATTATATAGATTTTATTATTATTGTTATTCAAATTGTGGCTCCAGAGCCATTACATTTACTGAAGCACTTTGTCTATTTTTCCACCAAAACTGTCAAGTCTATTTGCCTTAAGTTTATGGTATTTAACGCCCTTGTTTTTTTGTTTTTTATCCTTTTTTTTGACAGTTCTGTAAACACTCAGAGGAAATCCTCCAACAGTTTTTTTTTATAATGAACCATAACGTCCTGCATGGGTCAAGCTAAAAAAATACAGCTTTAAAAAAGTTCATCTTAACCTTAAAGGCTAAATAAGAAACATTTTCTGCAAGCAGATAGCAGAATTGTGATCTCTTGTTGGCATTTAATGACTTTAACGATTTACTGTCTAAATGCATGGTTTTGTTTTTTGTTGTTGTGGTTTGATTTCTGACTTTTGCAGTGAAGCAGCAGATGGATTATCAGCCCAATATGACCGGCTGGGTGACACATCTAAACCCTTTGTGGCCCAAAATACGCCGTTGCTTAATGGGATTATGAAGGAGGCAACAACAGCAATGAAGAAGCTGTTAACTCTGAAACAGATACAGCGAAAGGCTGATATATAAAGGGACACCAACTGCCATTTGCCAGATCCTCAACCCTCCTTGACGCACGTTAACGCTTAACAACCAGAGGTAAGACATCCACGCAGTAGGAATACTTAGAATTCATGCTATATTTACTAGGATTGAGTAATCTAGAAATGTTATTGTTGATGCTATGATTCAAAAACATAGATAGTTAAAGGACTAATACAGCTGAAACTTTTAGAAATTCAGAAATTCTCAGCCTGACAGGTTTTTAAAGATACAAATAACTGTATATATTCATGTTTCATTAATTATAAGGAAAATGTATTTTCTTGGTAACATTTTGTGTGCTAAATTGTTATGTTTGGATGACAATAAACAGCCACTATCTGTTCTTTAGAGGTTATTGACTGCAGCAAACTCAAAACAGATCAACAATAAAAGAATAGATTTAGAGATAGATGTATATGTAGATTTAGAATAGATCTATAAGACCATCATCACAAAATGTACTTATTGTTAGCTAATTTAGACTCAAATATTGGATCACATAGAGCTTACAGCAGAGTGACCATTAGATCCAGCTAAAAGAAACTTTCAGTCTACCTTTATGGCGAAACTTTTCTGTCCTTAGAGTTAAGAAAGAGGTTATTAAAGTGACAGCAACACTATTAACAGCCACTAGATAAAGTAAAACGGAATCATGTTATATTTTCTCCATTGCTGTAAAAAATATTAGTCCAATAAATATATATATTGTTGGTTAACATTAGTATAAAATGCAGAATTTGTCATTCAGTCATTCAGAATAGATATTTCTGTGTTATTACAACAGCCAGAGTTGTTATTTTGTAAGCGAACGAGTAATTTACTCATACCTCCTACAAACCTGATTAGCACAGTTATTTGTTATAATTCTAATTAGATATATGTCATATCTACTGCACAAACAGAAATAATGTTTTAGTCAAAATGTTATTTTATTTAATGAAATCAGTCCACATGAACAAGGATGTTTTGCATTATTCACATCAGTCACAGTTCAATTTTCTTCTTCTTCTTCATCTCTGTTGTTCAGCCAGAAATGATCACATTACCTCTGATCTACAATAATCATTGAAGCACAGATTAGGGTATAATGTTTGAGAGAATTCATACATTTCTGGATATATAAACAAATACCTCAACGATTAGGACATTTATTGCCCATTTTATAATTTCTAATGTTTTGAAAGTATAAATGATCTGGTCATTATCAGGATTTAAAATGGTTTAATTCTAATCATGCATGCAAAGAAGTATGCGCTAAATATTTAAGAATTGGAATTATTCATTAAGCGTAGATGAGGGTTGATTAAAAAGGTTGTGAAAGTTTTGGCACAGATGTGTATATATAAAATAACATACAAATAATTAGAAAACACAGAAAATAATTAAAGGGGTCTTTCAACTATAACTGTCGAAGGGTAATGGAAAATATGACAGATAGAACTAAAATTATATAAACAGAGAAAATATCTCTATCTTTTATCCATCCACAAAAATAACCTTTGTATTTTAACATATATTCCCTTAGGAAGAAATAAAAATCAAATTGCATATTTCTATTTACTTATGTTCTCTCTCAGATCTACTTTTAAAGCTTATCACAGGTGATGCACACCTGAGGCTAGCTTTATCCTAATTTATGAGCAGTTCTTTTATTATGAGACACCAGACTGTTCTGAATGTAAACCTTTTCCATGAAGTATTTGATGCTGGTGGGTATGTTTACTGGACTGAGGCCAGCTGGCTGAAAGAATTACAGCTCTGGCCTTTAACACCAGTGGCATAATCCTATCGCAAAAGATTAACCTTCTGTAGACCCTGAAAAGAAATATCACTAAAGCTGCCAAAAAGCTGTCAGAGGGCACAGAATCAGTGTCCTAATCGCTGCTGTATGACCCTACCACAACTTGACGTACTTTTTTTCTCTTCCTTTCTCACAGAATTCTTCAAAACATCTTCTAAAAATGGCAAAGTAAGTTTGTTTTTCTTTCTTTCTTTCTTTCTTTCTTTCTTTCTTTCTTTCTTTCTTTCTGTGTCTTTATCTCTTTATTTCTTTCTTTCTCCCTGTCTGTCTGTCTGTCTGTCTGTCTGTCTGTCTGTCTTTCTTTCTGTCTTTTTTCCTTTTTATTTTTTTATTTTCATGAAATACATTGTTTGAAAAAAAGCATAATTTTGCAAGTAATGTTTAACTTGGGACCTAATTAAGTTTTTTGCAAACTAATGCAATATCTGTTTTAGTTCCTGCATGACAGAGTAATGACCCCATTTGATTAATAGTGGATCATAATCATTAGTCTGCAGATCTCCTGAATAAAAAAGCCAGAGGAAATACAAATTCCTTTTTAAAATTCTAGAAGCATAACCTAAATACTTTTAAACAGAAAAATGTAAAGAAAGATCTGTTTAATATATCATATCAGTTATAAACTGTAGATATTTTTTGTGAAGGACATTCTGTTGCTCTCAAAACCCATTAAAGTGGTCTAAAAATAGCAGAAGGTGTTTATTTGTGGTTTGCAAAGACTTATGCAGTGATGTGTTGTTTGAGCTGTGCTCTTAGACATTAACACTCATAAGAAGCCTCGTGAGGGAGCGCAAAGGTTATCGGTTATTTGGGAACACTTTAGTTGTAGCATTGATGCCTCTCTCAGCTGACCCAGCCTCTCAATCCGGGCAGGATGAGGTAAAGCGGCTCCACACTTAGCTGTTCTTAACTGGATAAAGTGTAATAAAGACTTACTGGGCCTTCTGCTACATGCTGAGGAAACCAGTGCTGTCCACTGAATCTTAACTGGATTTAAATAGAAAATCCTGCAAGACTTTAAATAAAGTATGTTTTGATTTAAAACACAGATAATATAAATATTAAGAGAAATGTTTGTAATTTATTTATTTGTTTTTAAAAATTTTTGCAGGATTTTCAAGAAGACCAGCGGAAACGGAGGGGTTAGTGTTTCTCTCCTATTTCAGCATTTTGACCACAATGTTGTGACTTTTCTAACTGTTCTTCCGTCCGGTGTCTGACAGCTCACCCTCTACTTGGGGAAGAGAGACTATGTGGACCATGTGTCTGCAGTGGACAGAGTTGGTGTGTGTTAAATTCAATCACTCCATATTTTTGAATCAGCAGGGTAAAAATTACAAACAGATTTTTTTTGCTCTCCAGATGGAGTTGTTAAGGTGGACACAACAGATTTCGGGGACAGAAAAGGTAACATTTAGGAAAAATAAAACAGCTTAGATCTGATCTCCTTGGAGAAGAAATGAACTGGGTGATAAATGTAGAAAAATCTGTATTTTTGCAGCTTTCGTGCAGTTGGCCTGTGCCTTCCGTTACGGCAGCGAGGACCTGGATGTTATGGGATTGTGCTTCAGGAAGGACATTTGGTTTGAGCAAATACAGATCTACCCTGAGAGCAACAAGCCCCAGCTGAGCGCCATGCATGAGACCCTGCTGAAGAAGGCAGGAGACAACGCTTACCCCTTCTCCTTTGAGGTATGGAAAGACTTCAAAAATATGCCTGGGTTGTTTTTCCTTTTGGGTGTGCCTCTGTCCGTGGTGCTGAACGACAACTAGAAAATGCTGGATTTGAGCTAGTAAAGATTCTCAAGTCATCCAGTTTATATTCTTTCAAAAAAAAAGTTTTACAAGTTTAAAAAAAAATAAGACTCTGGTTTTTTAAGTTTGAAGATGCTCCTTCTTCCCATCCAGCTTCCGAAAAACCTTCCTGGAAAAACTTTTAAAACTCTTTTGGAATGCTGGATTAGAGATTCTCGCAATAGTAGAACTCTTAAGATAAAGATTAATGCCATATAGGAAAAGACAAAAAGTGAAAGACTTTTTATTAAAAGTGGTTTAATATTAGACTTAATGGCCTTTCCTTTTATATAATCCCTGTTTTTATGTCTGCACATGTTATTATTAATATGAAAGGGGAAATTTAGACTTGGTAACATTCATCTTAACGCTTTAGTTCAAGGACAACGATTTTATGCAATGAGATTTATAACCATAAGTCCCAGTCCATTAAATGGCAACTCAGAGACTCACAAGACAAACAACTATATACGCACATGCACACCTACTAGGGCCAACTTAGGAAGACCAGTTAACCTGAAATGCATATTTTTGGAGTGTAGGAGGAAGCTGGTGTACCCAGAGAAAACTCACTATACATCGGGAGAACATGAAAACTCTGGGATTAGAAACACAGGACCTTCTTGCTGCAAGACTAAAATGCAAACACACTACAGTCGTTGCTTTTCTTGAATCAGAGGTTGTTTGAATTAGAAGTGTAACAAAATAGTCAGCATTAATTACATTGAAAAAAGAGCTGAGAAAAGAATTAAATGGATTTTTTAAATACAAAAAAGCTCAATTAAGTTCCTACTTAACATTTTTGTGCATTTCTTTCTTTTTTTACAAAAAGGATTTAAATATACTACACTATAATAATTAAATACAGATTATGTGTGATATGAAGTGAGCAATCACTATGTAGAATGGAAGTAAATCTAAATCTTCTGAATTAAACTGGATTAAATGATTGTAGACGGACCTGAGATGTAAATGATTTATATAGACGGAACTTGTTTGTCTTTTAAGGTAATAATTGCTGTAAAATTACCCAATTGATGAATTCAACCAAACCGAAATGATATGAACGGGGCTTAAAATAATTTATTTAAATTAGGCTGACTTGAAATAGATAACATTTTATAACATAAAGAAAATGCATATATAATCATCACTAATATGAAGTTTTTCGCAATTAAATAAATTTTTAAAGATTACACTTAGACAAAAGAATCTGTTTCTGAAAAGATATCTTTGCGATTAAGGTAAGAAGAAATTAGTTTATTTGGTTTTTAGTTGCATCGTATTTTTGTCTCCAGATTCCCAACAACCTGCCGTGTTCAGTCTCTCTGCAGCCTGGTCCTGATGACAAGGGAAAGGTAGGCCACTATTTCACACCTGTAATTAAAACAAATATGTAAGAACTTCAGCGTTTCATAGTGTTCTGTGTCTCCTTGCAGGCTTGTGGTGTTGACTTTGAGGTGAAAACCTACTTGGCCAAGGAGAAGAACAACCCAGATGAGAAGATTGAAAAGAAGTGGGTACATTTTATTATTCCCAGAATACTCCCACTTCCACGGTTAATGCTGATGCTTTTTTCTTAACGTGTGGTCCCAACAGGGACACCGCTCGACTTGTCATCCGTAAAATACAGTACGCCCCTTCCCAGGTAGGGGCAGGCCCCAAGGCCGACCTCTGCAAGAGCTTCATGATGTCCGACAAGCCTGTTCACCTAGAGGCATCCATGGAGAAAGATGTAGGGTGGCAAATTTATTTATTTATCTATCTTAAATAGTTTAACCTGGTGACACAATTTTCAACTGATTCTCATTCAAAACCCCAAAATGGACAAGAGTTAACAGTAAAATCAAAACAGTAGAAAGATTGGAAAAGTACAAAGACACATTTTCTTTTTTTTTTTTACAGCTCTACTTTCATGGAGAATCTATCCCAATTAAAATTAAAATCAACAATGAGAGCAACAAAACAGTGAAGAAAATCAAAGTCAGTGGTAGGTATCATGGATTTTGAGTGTTTGATCATTTAGCTAACATTAGGGATATATCAAATTTATTTATTTATCCTCTTCCCACAGTGGACCAAACCACCGACATTGTCCTCTACTCAGCGGACAAATACACAAAGAGTGTTCTTTGCCAGGAGTTTGGGTAAGTTTGAGAGACTAGCAGAAGAAAATTATGCTTTAAGAAGTTGGGAAGTTAATTTTACACAAGGGATGATATCACATTGTCTTATTTATGTTAGAGAAAGTTTACCTTGAGAACATAAGGACACCAGACCCACCATACTGTTGGTGGGAACCGTTCAGAAAGGCAACATAAGAACAACAGCTAAGCTCCACTTTCTGGTCTAAAATATGAATTTGCTTGTGTTTTCTTTGCAGAGAGACGGTGGAGGCCGGTGGAACCTTTGAAAAATCTCTTACCATCACCCCAGTGCTGTCCGATAACAAGGAGAAAAGAGGCCTGGCTCTGGATGGACGGCTGAAGGACGAGGACACCAACCTGGCCTCTACCACCATGTCTGTACCCAAACACTTCAGAAGAAAAATTGAATAACAGGATTTACATGTATTTTCACTGTTTACACCCGATGTAAGCTCTTTTTAGACTTTGTAGCTTTGCTGTTGCTTTTTTAGAAACCGATGATGTCTTATAGTAGTACTCTTAACTAAAATAAACCTGTTAATCCCTGAAATCCTCGTAAATCCCTCCTTCACACAGGCTGCGGCAGGGTGTGGAAAAAGAGGTGTTGGGTATCCTGGTTTCCTACAAGATTAAAGTTAACCTCATGGTGGCCGGAGGAGGGTGAGTCTGCGTCACACCTTTTCTGTCTCAAACAAATCTAAAGATTAATAAGGATTAGATGAAAGGGGGAAAAAAACGTCAAATGTTTTTCTTCTCCCTCAGCCTGCTGGGCGGCCTTACTGCCAGGTAAGCAGCATCCATCACAGCAGTTATATCACAGCTCTTTAGCGAGCAGCTTTTGCTTATTGTTTGGGTTCTTTTCTGATGCAGTGATGTCACCGTGGAGCTTCCGCTTAACCTCATGCACCCCAAACCTGAAGGTACTTTTTATTTATCAACACAAATTTCTGAACTTCATGTTTTCCACTCTGGCGCTAATAGAATTCTTTTCTGTTATTTTTTCAAATCCTCCAAATTGGGAAGAGTAAAGACTCCACATCGCTGTAAGTACTACTTTAATTCTTTTGTATCAGAAACATCAAATCAACTGTGATTTTTGTGTGTGTGTGAAAGATAATTTACAGCATCTTGAAAATCAAATCACAGCCTTTGAAATTTAGTCACATTTTGTCACCTTGAAATCAAATTTTATATAACTCACCATGGTAGACAAATGCATGCATTTTTATCCTGCCTAAATTCAAATACTTTGTACTTATTGTCTTTAGAACTTGCCTTATTAGTGTGTGTATTCCTACATGAATCCAGGTGTAAAGCAAAGATATAACAGGTTTGTTAGAGAGCATTAGTAAATAAACTGCATTATGAAGATCAAAAACCTCCACAGCCAGGTCAGGATTAAAGTTGTATAAATTATAAAGAAGGATATAAAAGCTAGAATAATCTAAACATCGTTAAACGGGTAGAGTGTATGGAAGCATCTCATACATCTATTCTCTCTCTAATAAGCCTTTTTTTTTTCTGTCAGCCAGCTTTAAAATAAAGACTACTACTCCAAAAAAAGGAAAACTATATAAAAGTACTCAATATACATTCTTCACCCATTTTAAGCTAATCTACAAAGAATGTTCAAAAGTTCTAGATGTCAAAGCTTGTAGATATCAACACCAGAAGACTCATAGTTATAGTTGCAGTGAAGGTTTTATTTCTAAAGTGACTTATTGACTCTTCTGGCTTGTTTCAATTGTACTCAAAGTTATTATTTTTTTTTTTTTTCAGTTTTAACAGTGGAAAAACTTTAAAAAATATGTTTTAATTGTTACCTTGTGTTGGTCTGTCACATAATAAATAATTAAACGCCAATGAAACCTAAACCTTATGAAACACTCTGACCTTGGCTGTAGAATAAAACAGTAGAAATTCAAGGTGATTTGAACATACCTGTAAGCAACTGTAAGCTGAATGAATGTTTAAAACTGAGTACAAATAGACATACCAGTAACCCTCTGCTCTATCCCAAACAGAGAAGATGTTACCCTGCAGATTGAGAAGACGCCCACAGGAAGACAAGAGGACGACCAAAGCAAATGACGTTACACAAAGAAGAAAAACGTGACTGGTGTGATGAAGGAAGGGGGAAAATATTTCAATGCAGGGCAAAAGAAAATGTTTTTTTTTTCCTCCTAGGTTATTTTGTTGTTGTTTCTGTTAATGTAGATAAAGCATAGCAGTTTACCTGTCTGTCTGTGTTTAAAACAATATTAATGCACAAGACCCTTACTAAAACCTTCACATAATTGGAATTTTCTTTCTCCAGTAAAAGTTTGTTTGAAACCATTGTGCTTTTAAACACTGTGATTCAATTACCCATAAAGGAAAATAAAATCACTTAAAAAATATTTTGTGTGGGTTGTTTTTAAAATAGTCATTTGCTTAAATTTGTGCTTTTGAACATTAAAATCAAATTGTTATTCTAATGTTTACTTAAGCATTGCTACATGGTTGTCCTTTCCTGATAAATTTGGAACTTGCCCTTTGGAAGCCTCCTGCCTTCTGGTGCCTCTGCCCGTTGCGCTTAAATGTAGGATTGCCTGATCTAATCCAGGTTAAGTAGTTAGTTCTTTCAAGGCAGCTGCATGAACCATAAGAGTTAGGTGAGCTTCTGTGTACCATGTATACTTATCTACACCATTCTGGCTTTGATTAAAAAATCATACTTTTTTATATTTGAAGGAAAAGTCTGGTCAGCAAGGAATAACCAATAGATCATAACCTATACCTAAAACTAATACATTTGCAGTGATTTAATGAATTTAGAATCAGTAAAAAAAAATTAAAGCAATAGTTTTCATTGTGATAACTTAGTCTGGGACCGCTTTATAAGCAAAATCAATGGGAACTAGTAGACACATCTGGAATCAATAAAAATTATTCAAAGTTTCCAGAGGACTTCACCAATTAAATTCGCAAGAGCTATAGTTAAACTGACAATGCCTACGTGCATGGCAGTTTGATGTTGTAATACATCGGGTAAAAGTGAAAAAAAAAAAGTGTTATTTCACCTTTCCGATTCATGATCCTCCACGGACGGGTTTGTCGTTGGATTGGCAACTTGAAGAGGGAGGATTTGCCATCGAACTTCTGGCCAGAGAAAAAACATGTAGCCAACATTTGGAAGAAGAATGTTTTCAAGATGACTTGAATAATAGCGCGTTGTGACAAACACCAGATACAGCATTGGGACTTGATCAACAGCCGATACCGCACCGTGACGTCACAAACCAGGTGTTAGTAGTGTTCTTTAACAAACATGGATGTCTCCGGTAAATCACATTCAAATGATACTTGCTAACTAAAAACACTTATCATTCATTGAACATTATGTAATAATTTAATATTTAAAGTACTTTCAGAAGTTTGAATTCTGAATATGACCAAACTTTTCCTTTAAAGCATGATATTAAAGTAAAATTACGATGTCTTACAAAAGTGTACATACTCTTTGTACGTGTTCCAATTTTAAATCCCTAAACAAAGATCAGCACTATGCAGGTTACCACTACTCGTGAAGGCGACACAGCGAACATGATGGAAAGAGGATGCTCAGGTGCAATGGTTTTTGGCCCACATGCAAAACACTCCATATGGAACAAAATTAACCTTATTAAAATCAACACCCATGGTTACATGCGTAGCTTTGTCAAACTGTGGCATGGAAGGAACTCAAGGTTCATGGGAAGAAGAAGGGTTTTGAATAAAAGACAATCCTGAATCAGAGAGACCTTAGAAAGTGTAGAGACAAAGCAACAATCAAATAGTTAAATCAGAACAAGTGTGCACTTAATGTTCTCCAACCACTCTCACTGAGGTTAAACTAATATGCCAAAAAAAAATGGTCAGAAACTGTTGACTCTTTATTGATTGATTGACTTTATTAATCTCACAGTGGAGAAATGTACTTGTTATATCAGTTCAAACAGCCAAAAAGAGAAAAAGTAGGTGCCAAAGGAAGAAAATGGTGCATGGGAAATAAACTGTGCGTTTTCTTTCTTTCTTTCTTTCTTTCTTTCTTTCTTTCTTTCTTTCTTTCTTTCTTTCTTTCTTTCTTTCTTTCTTTCTTTCTTTCTTTCTTTCTTTCTTTCTTTCTTTCTTTCTTTCTTTCTTTCTTTCTTTCTTTCTTTCTTTCTTTCTTTCTTTAACAACAATATCGCAGCATAGTTTTCAAAACCTAAACAAATGTTACCGAAAGGGGGCGCCAAACGCCGGCTGACGCTTGGCCGACCAAGAAGAAGAAGATGCGTCACGCACAACGTGCTGTTGGAGCAGAAAGCAACATGGCTGTGAATGGAGGTCTGTGAACTTAACTGTTTGTTAAGTTGAAATTCCGCTCTTGTAGTCATTCATTATTACATGTGACACTTTATAACGCTTTATTAACGTGTATTTATAGCGGCTGAGCAGATGTCTTCTTCGTGGTTTAGTCTTAATATGTTCGGCACCCCGGTTGGTTTTGACTGCTAGCTTGTCGTTAATTTCTGACAGTTGTAAGAAAATAAATCTGCTCTGTTTCCCAAAAGGTTTTTTTAAAGTCCCAACAAGCAAGCAACCAGGCAGCCTGTATATAAAGGCAGTGCTTCAGTGTTCGCTTGTCGTCCAGTTCATATGATCTGTTTTCGCTCAGATGTTGTTGTTTTACCCTCAGATGAAGACTTTGAATGGGAGCCTCCGACGGATGCAGAGATGAAGGTGATCCAGGCTCGCAGGGAGAGACAGGACAAGATCAGCAAGCTAATGGGAGATTACCTCCTGAAAGGGTACAAGATGCTGGGGGATGGCTGCGAGGTGTGCGGGGTAAGCTTGAAGTTATGCTTTTGTTCTCCTACATCAGAAGAAAAGAGAAACCACTTCCAGTTAATATATGGCTTGAATATTAGTTGAACTATAGTGCACTCATGAGGTTTAACCAGAGGTGTCAAGTAACAAAGTACATATACTTCGTTACTGTACTGAAGTACACTTTTTAGGTATCTATTCTTTATTCCATTTCTTATTTTTCTTCCTACTTCTGACTTCTACTTATTACATTTTCACACAAGTATCTTTACTTTCTATTCCTTACATTTTTAAAACAAACGTTATTCGTTACTCTTGGCTTCGGTTTAATGTTTATAAATATTTATTTCACGTCATGTGCTCCATCCAATGCAGATCATTGGCCCCATCCACATCCAGTGAAAACTAGTGTGATTGGATGAGTCATAGAACGCAAACACTCATTGGTTAGCTAAAGGAAATCATCAGAAGCAAGCAGGTGTTCTTCAAACTGCAAACGCGAATTGTCTATGCCATGCTACAGTGTAGGATTCAGAAAAAGATGTTGAAATGTCTGAAAGGTCAGACACAGGCGAGAGCGTATCGGGAGACGGAGACCAAGAAGAGACCAACTTGGCCCTAAAGAATTTTTCCAAATAATCGAAAAATTGAGCTTTCAATTACTATAGTGGCATCTAGCTGGGTTTTTTTTAATGTTGCTTTATACTTTTATACTTTAAGTAGTTTTTGGAGCACATACTTTTTCACTTTTACTTGAGTAAAGAGGTCAAGCTGATACTTTAACTGTTACCAGAGTGTTTTTAAACTGCAGTATCTACAAATGTGTGTACTTTTGACACCACTGGGTTTAACATTGGGACAGTTGTTTCAGCTCTCTGTTTACTACCAAATCTAGCCTGACGTAGTCCGACTCAATTCTAGTCAGCATATGAGTCTGAAACTGCTCCATAGAGCTGTGATTATGGGGCGTGTTTTGAACGAACCAGGAAAAAAAATACCTCTGCACTCAATTGGATAGACCTACAATCAATAAGAGCAATGGAGTGCGTGACGTATGTTAAGCGAGGCATAGTTGTTGTCAACAAAAATCAAAGCGTGCAGTTGCATGCCTAGAATAAGAAGATGAGCCTTGATCGCGTTTCTCTGTTCCTCTTTTAAAATTAATTTGCTGTCGATATCTTCTAGAACAGACCTAATAGCAGAATCTACACACCTCAACTCTCCAGCGGCAGCCATTGTTGTTCTCACCCAAGGGCGCTTTGGTCACATGGTTGATTACGTTACTGTTGATCATCTGTCCATCGTATAAAGCCCGCCCTGACAATTTGAATGGATCGCCAGAGAGTGGGCGATCATACTCTCGCTACTATGGAGCAATGCCAGACCGAACTTCCCGACCTCAAACCTTGTGGGCGGGACTAAGTTCGGAATGGCACCCAGGCTATACCAAATCAGCTCTGTGATGTTGAATTACGGATGTCAAGTCATTTACGCTATTTGAGCTCAGAGGTGTCCCTTAATTTCGCCTCTTTGACCAGGTTATATGGATATCTAAGAATTTTGAGGTTAAATCAACAAAGAAAACCATTCTGAACCATTTTTGGCCTTGTTGCTGGGCCCTTAATCTTGCTTTTCTTATATCTCTTCCAATATTGACTTGCAGTAATGCCTATTCAAGATCACCCAGCAGAACACTGCTACATCATCTGAATATGGATTGAAAAAAATGAGGATTAATCAAACCTGGCTTCCTTCTTCTCATGTTTTGTGGAAGAGCTCCACCGATGCAGGTTTTTTTTAAGGCCAATACAGATTATTTTGACATCAATTTGAGGCTACGTTCACACTGCAGGCCTTGACGCTCAATTCCAATTTTTTTGTGAAATCCCTTTATTTTTTATTTTTTGTCGCTGTTCACATTGCATGGGATCTGTATGAACTGCAGTCATACAACGCATGAACAGTAGAGGGCGCAATGACATCACAGGCCAGCGTGCTCTGTGTTTACGGAAGTAAACATGGATGGTAGTGCTGGAGCGCATCTAGCGATCTTTCCCAACCATAAAAACACAATCTTTTCAAGAGGTTAAACATAAATACTGCTCTCCGCATCATCGTCCGCCATGGTTGTTGTTTTTCTTGCCGCTTCTTCATAACAAGACCCAGAATAGTGTCTGTTATTAATGTTGTTCAAGTTGGACGAATGCGATCTGGCCGTTCAGACACAGGTCACTTGAAAATATCAGATTCGTATCGGATTCAGGACCACAGAGCCAAGTGGCCTGGGTCGCACTGGAAAAAATTGGATCCATGTTGTTTAGACAGTCATGAAAAGATCCCATCCAGGTCGCATATGGGCCAAAACAATCGGATTTTGGTTACTTGAGGTTGCAGTGTGAACGTAGCCTAACTGATCCCCGATATGTGCTGCTGTTTCTTTTTTTTTTTTCTCCTGAAGCTGATTCTTTTGGTCAGTATTGCTTTGTCCTTACTCCATTTACATAAAAAACACAATTATAAATGCTTAACTCCTTGATTTCGATTAAATGAAATATCTATTAATGAA